ATTATTTGTTTATTCTTTCAAATGATTTTTTTGCCAACCAGAAAGAAATCTGACAACCTAAGAAAAATGAAGCATTTTCCATGCCCATGTTTTTCCCATATGTGTGCTCCATATTTGCTTTTCTCTCAGCCAAAAGCTTTCGTAGACAAAAGGCATTACTATATGGACTATGTGTATGTAAAGGAAAAAAGTAAGAATAAACTATGAACATTATGTGGGGCTTTTGTTTGGCTTATGTTTTTGGCCCGCGATACACAAGCATGTATAATGCCACATGTTACGCCCCCAAGATCAATGCAATAAAAAGATTCAAAGGATGAATAACCCAGGGGCTGGCCAAGTGAATGGATACAGATAATATATAAAAAAAAAGAAGTGTCACATAAAGGTATCCTTTCAGGTGACTGGGTTCATAGAAATTACATGGTTCTATACAATGCATATACATTCTTTCCTACCCATATCTGCCATCTGCTTAAATCAAATATTTTTACCGATTTGAATAAAACTTTATTTCTATCGTTCCATTTTCTGTGCATCCAAAAATCGTTTAAGGTCCTCCACTTGAGAATCGGATGAGAATTGGGGAAGATATAGCCATTCCTGTGGGCCCTCTAGGAGAAAAACTCATTTTCAGGGATCCCCTCCCGAAAAATGCACAAAAAAATTAAAAAATATTTTGTCTCAGGATTTTGATGCAGAATGGTGGCGAATCGATCCACAAATTGTTTAAGGTACTCCGCTTGAGAATCGGATGAGAATCGAGGAAGATATAGCCATCACTGTGGACCTTATAGGGGAAAACTTCATTTTCAGGGGATTCAATCACAAAAAATGGACAAAAAATTGAAAAAAATTTTGTCTCAGGATTTTGATGCAGAATGGTGGCAAATCGATCCACAAATTGTTTAAGGTACTCCGCTTGAGAATCGGATGAGAATCGAGGAAGATATAGCCATCACTATGGACCTTATAGGGGAAAACTTCATTTTCAGGGGATTCAATCACGAAAAATGGACAAAAAATTGAAAAAATATTTTGTCTCAGGATTTTGATGAAGAATGGTGGCAAATCGATCCACAAATTGTTTAAGGTACTCCGCTTGAGAATCGGATGAGAATCGAGGAAGATATAGCCATCAAAAAATCAAAACATCAAAAAAAATATCAAATATCAAAAATATCAATATCATCAAAAACAAAAAATTTGAAAAATATTTTGTCTCAGGATTATGATGCAGAATGGTGGCGAATCGATTCACAAATCGTTTAAGGTACTCCGCTTGAGAATCTGATGAGAATTGGAGAAGATATAGCCATCACTGTGGGCCCTATAGGGGAAAACCCCACTTTCAAGGGATCCCGTCACGAAAAAAGGACAAAAAATTTAAAAAATATTTTTTCTCAGGATTTTGATGCAGAATGGTGGCGAATCGATCCACAAATCGTTTAAGGTACTCCGCTTGAGAATCTGATGAGAATTGGGGAAGATATAGCCATCACTGTGGGCCCTATAGGGGAAAACACCATTTTCAAGGGATCCCGTCACGAAAAATGGACAAAAAATTGAAAAAATATTTTGTCTCAGGATTTAGATGCAGAATGGTGGCAAATCGATTCACAAATCGTTTAAGGTACTCCGCTTGAGAATCTGATGAGAATTGGGGAAGATATAGCCATCACTGTGGGCCCTATAGGGGAAAACACCATTTTCAAGGGATCCCGTCACGAAAAATGGACAAAAAATTGAAAAAATATTTTGTCTCAGGATTTTGATGCAGAATGGTGGCGAATCGATCCACAAATCGTTTAAGGTACTCCGCTTGAGAATATGATGAGAATTGGGGAAGATATAGCCATCACTGTGGGCCCTATAGGGGAAAACACCACTTTCAGGGGATTCCATCACGAAAAATGGACAAAAAATTGAAAAAATATTTTGTCTCAGGATTTTGATGCAGAATGGTGGCGAATCGATCCACAAATCGTTTAAGGTACTCCGCTTGAGAATATGATGAGAATTGGGGAAGATATAGCCATCACTGTGGGCCCTATAGGGGAAAACCCCACTTTCAGGGGATTCCATCACGAAAAATGGACAAAAAATCGAAAAAATATTTTGTCTCAGGATTTTGATGCAGAATGGTGGCAAATCGATTCACAAATCGTTTAAGGTACTCCGCTTAAGAATCTGATGAGAATTGGGGAAGATATAGCCATCACTGTGGGCCCTATAGGGGAAAACACCATTTTCAAGGGATCCCGTTACGAAAAATGGACAAAAAATTTAAAAAATATTTTTTCTCAGGATTTTGATGCAGAATGGTGGCGAATCGATTCACAAATCGTTTAAGGTACTCCGCTTGAGAATCTGATGAGAATTGGAGAAGATATAGCCATCACTGTGGGCCCTATAGGGGAAAACACCATTTCAAGGGAAAACACCATTTCCATTTTCCCGTCACGAAAAATGGACAAAAAATTGAAAAAATATTTTGTCTCAGGATTTTGATGCAGAATGGTGGCGAATCGATCCACAAATCGTTTAAGGTACTCCGCTTGAGAATCGGATAAGAATTGGGGAAGATATAGCCATCACTGTGGGCCCTATAGGGGAAAAAAGCATTTTCAAGGGATCCCGTCACGAAAAATGGACAAAAAATCGAAAAAATATTTTGTCTCAGGATTTTGATGCAGAATTTTGTCGAATCGATCCATATCTGGATCTCTGCAAGGGTATAAAAAGAACTATTCAGGTCATAGAATAAATAATAAATACTACACAATTGTTTGAAAACGATTGCCGACTCTACAAATTTATTTCCCACTTGAACCCCTGACAACAATACCATAAAAGGGGTTAACTGTCAAAATCATGGAATCATCTATGCCACCCGCAGACCCACAGCCCCATCCTGGGGCCTGTCAATGCCGATGGCAGCCAGAGCAACAAATTCCCAGGCTGTGCCCTGAAGCCAACGCAAATAAAAATGACAACAAAACAATCTTCGACAAAGGCAAACAAACAAAAATGCGAATACAAACATGGACAGTTAGACAACGTCGGATCCCAGACGAGAGCAAAGAAAATGGGGGTACAAAAGCCAACGTTAGATATGACTGAAGTATGATTCAATTCCATTACCAGACGTAATGCACAACGGGAACCCGACAAAAAAAAAATCGATGAGCTCCCATGAACGCCATTCGGCGAATTTGCTTCTAATTCCTAACGCACGCAAGTGCAGCTCCATTGAGAAATGGGTTGGTGCTAATGGAACATTGGGGATGGCAGTTATCGTGGGACAGAATAGGGTGAGAACGCTGGCCACGTCACTCGCTCGTCCCAGAATGCCAGTAAAGTTTAAAAGTCATGTCTGCCATTTTGGCAACACGTAAATCCGCGCACTTCCTGAACACTCACTCCTCGGCCACACAGTGGATGGCGCTCTGATGAGGAGCCAATCGAGGTTCAGGTCAGGAGCCCTCCTCCTCCAGGGGGTGGGAGCTTTGGGTTCACGCGAAAAACACCGCAACACGCTTTAAAATTTGTTGTGCAATTTTCACAGCTAACGAAGTGGGAGACCATGGAATTTGATTAGAAATTCAAACGGAAATAGGACTTGGAAAGCCAGTAAATTGCGAGGAATATTCCACAAGAATGATGGTTATATAAGCTGGGGAATAAATTCAAATCTTCAAATAAATTATAATAAACAGCGACATTACTCTTCCACCAAAATCAATCATATACCATATAAAGCATATAATCAATACGCAGTAATAGAAATCGCCTTGAGGCTCCTAACCCATAAACTAGTAGAGGCGACCCACCTCATATGCCATTGACATGAGACACTTCACCCCTGCACGCAAGCAAACTCAACCTTGACCCATAAAAGCTAATGAAATTAATTAACTACCCTCATGGAAGTCACCGAAAGTAAACATGAAAGGAGCCAAGTAGTAGAATTCATCGCATCACATATGGGGCAACTCGAGCGAATGGGCAAACACTTGAAGTAAAATAGTTAATCCATTTGCACACTCAACATTTAATGAAACCCGCAGCCACTGGCGTGCCCAAGGAATAAAAAAAAACAATCAATATGGGGCTGGGGAAGCGGAAAACCAAGTCCAACAAGACCAAGTCAGCAAGACGCCCAATCAATTAAAGAGTAATCAAATGGGGAATATCCCGCTCTACTGTTGCAGGGGGGATATGCACCGCTTGAAGCGCATTTTCTTTGTCATCTGCTACATAAATAATTCAAATTGCGCCTTCCTTTAGACGATGGCGACGTCTTTCAATAGCTTGGCAGCACAAAGGACTCGACTGGGACAATGGCAATGCACCACTGGGCACGGGCAGGGGCAGGGCCCACACGCCCACTTGAGGCGGAATGAATGGCAAAGTTAGTTTTATTTTTCTAACGCTAACAGAACTTGACAACGGAACCGGAAGTATGGCAATTTAAAAGTCATTCGATAGTTGGCTCGATCACAATTAAAAACTTTTAAGCAAATTGTTTGCGAATAAAAAAGTTTTCCTCAAAATATTTTTGGAAAAATAATTAATTAAAGACAGGAGACCAATGCACTTGCGCATGCAAGAGGGTTAAAATTAAAGCACAATCAGTTCTTGTTCCAAAATCCCCTCCATGACAAACTGGATCCAATCAAAGTTTCCGACGTGCTCCAGTTGTTTTTGATTAAAGAAAAATGAGAGCCCCGCAGCTATTCACACGCCTTCGTTCCTTCCACGCCTTCTCCAACCTGCTATTTCCTATTTTCCACCTATGACAAATGAACCTGGTTGGAAGTTCGCCTCGATGGAAATTGTTTGTTTTTCCGCCGAAAGGTGGTGGTGTGCTCCGGGTTGCTCAACGCAATTGGCACTCAAATATTCATCGGCTTACGCCCGCCAATTTTTGCGAACAAAACGAAATACTATACCCAAAAAAATAGGAAATTATTGTTGTTTTTGCCTTTGACACTCACCATTCTCGATGGTCTCCTTGGCACAGGATATTATTTTGCCTTTGCGACGTCGCAAATTCGATTCAAAATTGTTGTCATCGGTGAAATCATCCTCTCCGCCATCCCTGGTGCCGCCGCCACCATCGCCGGCTGTTGTAGTCGCCGTAGAATCCGGCACATCCTCCGACGACTGCCGCTCCGAGTACGAAACTCCGTCTCCGGACCCTTCACCACCGTGCATTAAAGTTTTAAAACTTTGGCTCATGCTGTGCCAAAATCTCACTTTGCTGATTTATTTTAAATTTTATTTGTTTTTGTTTTTTATAGTTTATAGAATCTTTTCAGATATTATAAAAATATTATTCTATTACATTGCAGTTTAATCACAATATTTGCGTGTCAATTAATTGACTTATTACAAGAACAGGCCAAGAAAATGGTTTCACTCATTAATCAGATGACCTGAAAACGCAGGTAAACAGAAGCCTTTTGATTACAAGTTTATGAAAAAAAAATTAAACGGAGGAAAACGCAAAAATTGGGTGCGTGATTCGAAGAAAAGCTTAGCACGCAATCGGCAGAGGAAAAGTGTAAAAAGAAATGCCCAGACTGCCGGCTAAAAAGACGTTTTTTTTTTCTGTTTTAGTTGCCATAAATGGCTAGTAAAAGTGGGTTGGTTGGCAGACTAGCGATAGTAAGTCACCGCGAGAGAAGGGTGGGTGGGTTCGGGTTCAGTCATTACCCGCAACCCCCGAGATGGATCCAAAATACGATTTCAAAAATAACTACCAGCCAAGCCAGCCATCAGCAAACTAAAATTAAAACCTTTTGAAAGTTTTTTGCAAAACCAACAAATAAAAAAAAAAGCTGAAATGCTTTTCTTATTTCATAATCGCTTCTTGCATTTAGGTTAAACAATCGCCGAAATAACACTAGGAATTTATTTTTTTTAACACAAAGAACTGCAAGTCGCTACTTTCGATAGCATACTTTTGGGCTGGAATTGCCGTTAGTGGGCCGAGGTACACTTCCGTGGTTAGTTTTATTTCAAAACTGTTAAATATATTTATTTATTTTGCTGTGGAAATGTGAACTGGGGTGTAGCCGTCGAAGAAAGAAAGTGTTTGCGCGCTAGGAAATGCCGTCAGAGACTGAAAGTCTTTCACTTTGCCGTGGGAGCCAAATACCCAACACAAAGAGCAGCCAGATTCGTGGTGAGTTACTCAGTTATTGATTTTGTACACTGCAAAGACAGCAAAGGCAGAGAGAGAGGCACGACGCATTCGGTGGTCGCCGGATGGCACTGGCTTTTCGGTGGGAGGGAATCGCACTGGCAGGGCGAGGCAACCATACATTCAAAAAGCCGGCTTGGATTCGAACGGAGAGCGCGAGAGCTGACAGAAAGACAAACAACAAACAATGAAACACGAAGGATGAGTACATAAGAACAAACATATGATTATACCGGGCACCATCGTGGCTTAAACGGGAGTATCTATTTCATAAAGCTCTTTGCTACACATAAATTAATTTAAAATAAAAATCGATCATTTTTTTCAGGCACTTATGCCATTGTGAGTATCTCTCGGTTTATTCTATTATTTTTAAACTTCGTACAATGTGTTTAAAAATGGTAATATGTTGGTAATGGTTGAGTAACTGCTGTATATATTCAATATATATATACTCCTTAAGATATCTAACTTAAACCACTAGGTCATCCTAGTCAAAATTCGATGGTTAAGTTCAAGTATTAACTTAAACCCCTTAGTCCCAGTCCTGCTCGTCCTCGTTAGCAGTAGTCGAGTAGTTCTTGCCCTGAGATTGGAAGTCTTTGTTAGTATCAGCGCTATCATACAAGAGAAGGTATTTCTACTTACACCACCACCACGAACGTCCAGGCCACCAAACTTCGACTCCAAGTAACCGCCACCGCCGCCACCTCCCATCTGGCGGAGGAACTCGGGAACTTCTTGCCCCGACCCCTCTAACGTGGCAATCAAGTCAGATGCCAGGGATCGGTCTTGGTCGGGATCAAAGAAGGAGGTGGCGCGGCCGTTGTTTCCCACTCGGCCAGTGCGTCCAATGCGGTGTACGTAGTCGGCAATGTTGTTGGGCATATCGAAGTTAACCACATGCTTTACATTTTTGATATCTGCGGAGGATTAATGGAGGATTAATGAAAGTAATCTGGGAATAATAATAGTAACCAACCTAAGCCACGAGCGGCCACCGAGGTAGCAATCAAGACCTTCATCTTGCCAGTCCTGAAGTCGCGCAAGGCCTGCTCGCGCTGACTCTGGAGACGATCGCCGTGAATTGAAGTCGTCGGGAACTCGGTTTCGGACAAGAAGGAAGCTAAGAAGTCGGCACCACGCTTGGTTTCAACGAACACAATTGTGCCGTTGGCGTCTTCTCGTAGAATTTCCTACAAACATAAGCAATATAAGCATAAAATGAGCACAAAATCATCCAGAGATTAAACCCACCATTAGCTTGGAACGCTTGTTGAACTTGTTAACTTCGTAGACGGTCTGAGTGACATCCGAGCACGCACCTCCTACCACGCCAATGGTGACAAACACATAGTTGTTGAGGAATTCGCCGGCCAGGCGCTGGATCTCCTCCGGGAAAGTGGCCGAGAACATGAGGGTCTGATGCTCAGATCGCATGGTGCTGTGCGTCATGATTTTACGCATACTATCCGAAAAACCCATGTCCAGCATGCGATCGGCCTCATCCAGAACAACGAAACGCACGTCCTCAAATGTGATAAAGGTGCGATCAACGAAATCCAAGAGACGCCCGGGGGTGGCGATCAGCACATGGCAGCCCTTAGTGATGCACTCGTTCTGATGCTTGAACGAGGTGCCTCCGTACACGATACTGATCTTGAGGTACGACTCAAATCCAAATTTTCGGGCCTCACTGAAGATCTGGATCGCCAGCTCGCGAGTGGGCGACACCACGATAGCCTGGGGCTTTCCAATCTCAAGGTCCTGGGGTTCCTCCAGCAACTTGCTCAATATCGGCAGCAAAAACGCAGCCGTCTTGCCAGACCCAGTCTGGGCGCAGGCCATCAGGTCGCGTCCCTCGTTGATAACCGGAATAGAGACCTTCTGAATTGGAGTCGGCACCTTGTAGCCAGACTTGATGACATTTTCAGTCACTATGGTTCGGAGGCCGGCTTCCTCGAACTTCTTGATGGGCTTGGGCACATCCTCTCCGCTAACCTGTTGGTGGACAAATATTTTAAATTTGACCTATGAGGGGCAGAGTTTGGGACCAACCTTCACGGGAATGTTGTCGTATTTGGAGAAATTTATACCGGAAGTAATGCCGCTACTGAAAATCTCATTCTCGTCATTGGTGGGCTCAGGCGGAATGTAAAATTCGCGCTTCTTCTCGCCATCATCTCCATACTCGTTGTTGTTGTTAACATCGTCATCGTTGCGGCGACGTCTCTCGTAGTTGCCGCCTTCTCCACGGCCCCCACGTTCTCCTCCGCGTTCACCACGTTCTCCTCCGCGTTCACCACGGAATCCTCCGCGACCACCACGAGACTCTTCTCCTATTTCATAAATGGTTGATACGAATATTAAACAAATAGTTTAGACGAAACTTACACCAAAACATTTAGAAGACCACTATTATCAGTAATATAATCAGAAAAATAATTAAAAACCCCCTAGGGATTTATCCTAGTGGTACAAACCAATGGAACTAACAATACTTATGAAATAACCTCTAACTTTAATGCTTAATTTTAATATCTTAATAAAATTTATGAAAAGAAGTAAGCTAGCGAAGTGAAAACAAGCGACCATCGGCGCTTAGATTGATGAAATTTTTGGCTTTAAGGTCGAGTAAGTATCGAAAGGTTATAGCCGCATCCATTCGACTTTTGACAAATGGAGCTTTTTGGATATCCATCGAGGGCTGGGTTACCAGACCGATCATTATGCCGGATACTATTTGTGTTCTTCTGGCTGGCACATTGAAAATGACCTGCGTGTTGTAGAACTTGGTGGAGGGTGTGGAGATGTACTTTTTTTTCGAATCTTTGCCATTGGAGTCTGTGCCGCTCTGATCACACAGCTCCTTTTTCTGGCGAATAATCAGCGAGAAAAGATCAATGTGCTTCACCACATAGGCGTAGCACTCCATGGCTTCGTTATACACCAGTTTGCGACGGTCACTCAACGTTACACCTGTCGCCCTTTCAGCAGTGGGTATGGGTATATCTGACACACCATCTGATTGGTTTATTTGGTGGAGGATCTGTGATGGGTCAACATTAATGGGTGGCTGTATTATCTCCACGCTGGTCACCACGGCCTTTTCGCTTGTACTTGGCAGACAAGGGGTTTCGTCCAAAGACGGGGCTTCCACTATCGGGGGCAGTGTCGGAGGATCAATAATGGCGTGAGATATATTTGAGATATTCATGGAGGTTAGTATTTCGGAAGTATTGTTGAGAGTTGTGGATTCTTTAGGTGGAGGAGCCCCATCAGAGGTTAGGGCAGTGGAGCTTAAGACATCAGTAGGCGCAGCTGGAGGGAATATTTCGTTGACCGACTTGTCCTTCTGATGAGATTCGTCTGCCGATTTTCTAACAGCTTCTGGCTCTGCTTGAGTTACTTGAGCTTCCGGACCGAACTCCATTCGGAGCTCCTTCTCCATTTCGGATGCTTGTTCTAGTAAATCCGCCAAGAAGTTGGTCGTCACATTATGATTGCTTTGCGCCACCTCCGGCGGTACCACAAGCTCTGGCGTGGTGGGTCTTGGAGGTGGTCGTGCTCCTCGAGGCCTACGAACCCGGCGCCTTCTTTGTCTTGGGTTGGCCGGTGCCGATCCTTCATTGTAGTTCATAACCTCCTCCCGTGTCCGAAATATACTAGCCCAGTCCCGGCTGACGCTGGCAGGCTCTGGTTCTGGAGCCACCGAAGCAGCGGCAGTAGATCTTAGTTCCCTTATGGTATCTGAAAAGCCAGAATTTAACTCTAGCCGCTGCTCCTCATGGATCGCCGGAAGCAGGGGTTGGAAGGACGAAACGGATGAGGGAGTAACTCCAACGCGAGACCGCAGCACTGAGGGAGGATCCACGAGCGCTGTTTCCTCGGTATCCGCCGGTAACACCAAAGTACTGCCCTCCGCATCAGATACTAATGGAAACTCGGCCGGCAGGGGTGGGGCACCTAACGACCCATCTGGCAGCGACAACTGGTGATCGGGGCTATCGATGGTGCTGGGGAAAAAGGACCGTCTGTGGACGAACATGTGGGTTCGCATTAGTCTTTGGGCATGTATGTATATGTATTTAATATGTTAGTAAGATGTTAGCAGTCGTCTGGAAACATTTTCAAGTTAAATAGTAGCTTTGGAATCTATAAGTCTTGACAAATAATATTTTATTTCTTTCCACAAAAAAACACAAACATGTTTTGTTAAATGTTTTCGTAAGCTTTCAATGTTCGAGTTCTTCAATTAACTGCCGACTGACTCCAGAGCAACTCCAGGGCGCCCGTACATGGTAAGGTGTTAGTTTGGAATGCCGGGTTAGTATACATATTGTGGAGTAAGTACCTATTGTGTTCGTTGATGCGTCGCAGCGGCGTGGAGGACGCACGCATGGCACTCTGACTGAGAACCCGACTGGACGACAGGACCATGTCCTCGTCCCGGAAAGAGTCTAGCTGATTGGTGGAGACACCTTCGAGGAACTCCTGGTTCTGCGATTGCTGCTGTCGCGGCATGTGAACCGTACCGCTGACATGGACATTGCTCTCCAGGTGTTGATCCACAGGGGCAACTGGTGCTCTTCGCACCTGGTGCTCTTCTGGGCGCAGCTTGAGTGATTTGCGAATCCCGTAGCCCCGTGGCCTCGGACAAAGTAACCACGACTGAGGAGTTACATCGGGCCAAGGCATTCCTCTGCGATATTCTTGCATGTTTGGATACCTGAGCAACCGACAGTCGCGTAGAATCATATAATCTTCGTTTAGAATGGTCCGATTTCTGGAGGAAGGCACATAGGTCGGCCGAGGCGCTTCCGATGGAAGTGTCTCGTCGTCACTGTCACTGTCGCCCCCAAGGCTATCCCTGGACCTATCTAAGGCGTTCATATACATCTCCTTTACTTTTCTGATGAATGAATCCTCGCGGGAATCATTTACTTCGCGTCGATGGCTTGCATTTGGTTCACGGGATGTGCGACCCTCGTCCGTGATGGCTCTTCGCCTGCTGGCCCTTCGCTTTGATGGCGGGGTGCTGGGAACTGCGAACAACTCTTCGTCCAAGTTCTCATGCAACTCATTGACTCCCCTCTGCCACTGCGCCAAAGCGCATTCCCCTTCTGGTTCCGGCGGATCTTCCACGTTGTTGAGTAGGTTATCGATTTCCAAAATAAAACTGTCCATTTTTGCGGCCGTTTCGCGCATTTGCTTCAACTCCTTATCTCGGGTTTCCTTCTCGAGTTGCTGCAGGGCGGTCCAACCTTCGTGAACCAGGTTCCTGAAGGCGATGAAAATATATTGGCGAAGCTCCCGCAACTGCTCCACGGACTTGTACTTGCTCAGGTCGACCTGATCGATGAAGGCGGCCACCACATCCCTGTCCCAGCTATTAGGGAGAGGCGGTGTTTCCACAACTAAGGTGGCCACCAATTACAAAAAAAAAAAGGAAAAGAAAATAACGAAAAGAGAACAAACTACATGACAAGACGATAAACTAAATAACAAAATATTAACATACACTAGCCCTTTAATAAACATCCTATCTTAGGCTATTATTTGAACCCTTTCCAGCCATGGAGATCGAGCCGAATAGATTCATTGTCCACCACTTCCACTTACCGTCGTCGTCATCCCGACGTCCACGATAGCCGCCGCCTCCGCCTCCTTCGCGGCGACCTCCGCGGTAGCCATTTCCTTCACCATCCTCGTCTCCGCCGCCACGGCGATCACCACCGCCTCGGCGATACCCGCCGTCGCCGTCGCCACCGTTGCGTGCGCCACCCCCGCTCTTGCCTTGGTCGTCGTCATCACTCCAAGCGGATGCATCCTTTTCCGGCTTGCCCTTGGGCTTGTCCTCCCAATCACCTCCACCGCTGCTGCGGCCGCCGGTTGGTGCAGAGGGCTGGAATCATTCAACATATTAATGGGCAGTCTTGTTAAAATATCAAGGATACGCACCTCTTCCTCCCAGTCAGACATGGTTCGGAGTAATTACGTAGGCTATATAATAGAAAGGATGATTATTTCTCGAAAATTCAAACTTGGCGCCAACAAAAAAGCCTCTTAAAGACTAGTTCTTTAAACTCAATTCCTTAGCCAGCCACCTCAATAGAATGCCAAGCTTTCATAATAATGACCCCATTTATTGCCATTTCAGCCTTCCTCCCACTAATGTCATGAGATGATATTCAAAATCAGTACCAAGTAGAGGCTACGAACAGAGGCCGCTAAACACAGACGTTGGGGCAACCAGTGGGACCTTGTCCAACACCCATTTGCCGTTCGCATCGGGACGCGGCCAAAAACGTGAGTCTCTGTTTTTCTATGTATACCAAGAACACATGTGGGCCGCTGGCTTGGCGCCCCTGTGTGCGTGAGTTGGGCCATGTGCGTGTGCCTTGGCCTGCGCCTGTGGTGGTAGGTAATACTAGCAGCGAGGCGAAGAAGAAACGCAGAAAATTAAGGTTAGAGAGCAGCCAGCCAACAACAGCCAGCGGAAAAGTAAGAAAAATCCCTCGAAAAGGCGCAATTTAAATGCCAAAAATTAAGTTACTCGATTCGCTAACAAGATAACTTGTAAAAAACCCAAAATTTAACACATTTTGGGGGATTGTGAGCGTTTGAAAAGTCAACTGTGATTGCCCCGAGAAGGGGTGGTGTGAGGCGAGCGAGCGAGAAAGGAAAATCAATCAATTCAGGAATTGTGTAAAATTCTTTTGCAGGAAACAGCAGCAGCAGCAGCAGTAGCAGCAAGCCTACCAAGCAGAACCACACACCTCACAGCATGGACAGCGCCGGTAAAAATCGTTATGAGCTCTTGTTCATGGACGACGATGTCAGCGATCCATTAGATAATCTTGTGGCGCCGACGGCCGCAGCAACGGCAGCAGCAGCCGCAGCTGGCAAGAAGAAGCAGCCGAGTGCTGCGGGTGGTGCTGCATCGGGTGGCGCCAAGACCGCCGCCAAAGTGCCCAAGGCGGCCAACGCTGCCGGAGGACCCAATCCCAAGAAGCCCAACCAGGCCGAGAAGGAAAACAAACCGAATGCGCTGAACAAGAACGATGGCAAGAAGTTTGCAGCCAACGGCGAGAAGCAGCAGTTCAACAACCAAAACAACAAACAGGGCGCTCCTCGGCCGGGCGGTGGTGCCAACCGAACACGTGAATTTGGTAGCGGTCAAGGACAGGGACAGGGACAAGGACAAGGACAGGGACAGGGCCAGGGACAGCAGCAGCAGCGCAGCGTAAACTTCCGTCAGCAGAACGGCAATGCCGAGACACGCGAGCAACGCAACAACCGTCGCAATGTCCGCGAAAACGGAGGAGGAGCACCCGATGGCCAGCAGTCGCGTCCGTACCGCGGCAACCAGGGTGGCGGCCCAGGCGGTGCTGGCGGCGATCGGCCCCAGCGCCAGAATCGCAACTACGATGGCCAGAACAGGAAGCGGGAATTCGATCGCCAGTCAGGATCAGACAGAACCGGTGAGTACCACGACCATCTAATAGAACTATCAGAGGGCGGTTGGGGCAGACATAACCACAAACGGACAGGGCGACAGCCCGCCCACCCAAACGAAAAATTAACAGAAACAGCCTTTCCATGACAACGAAACAGCGAGGCGGTGGCCAAGACGAGGAGGAAAGCCTACTCACGAAACTAATTATCCAGATAGCACCTTAGATTACACGTTTATTGAATAGAAACTGAAAGTATATAGCCTTTGATAGTCTCAACTCCTGTTTGATAACCTAAAGCTGGGAGTAGATAAGAAGAATAAGCCCCCGCATAGTCCCCCGCTCACGTGGTGGATCGTCCAAAATCAATACTAATGGCTGGCAGCTAAAATCTGTACATATACCTAGTAGTTTTCTCCCACCCCGCTCTGCGATCTGCGTCCCACTCTTCACACTTCGGTTTTGGAATATCCAAAATTAAAATCTAAAATGCTGAAGCATGGCAATCGGTAGCAACAGCCGAAGAAGCAGTACGGCACAGCACAAATCTGAAGAGAGAAATGTGTTATAAATAGTTTGTGCCTCCTCTTGGCGGCATTTTCCCGTCTAGTCCCACCATTCTAGTCTAACGCAACGCGGTCGGTTTGGTTTGGTCTGTAGGAGGCCCATTCTATGGAAGGCATAGAAGCCAATGGGGTGGTGAAAACAGCTCGCCCCTAAATCTGATTACAGCACATGACTGGTCGGCTTATCTGTCGGTGTTCGAGGGTCGCTAATTTGACAGAAGAGAGCCATTGGGCAAGGTTACTCGTAACTAGTTGACCTAATTAGGGATAGATGGGAACCCTTATCGATTATAGTTACAGATATCCTTCCTTGAGGTTCCTATCATCAGAATCTTCAGTTCCACATACCTTTAAATGAAAAAGATTCGTCGTTTGCCTGAAAAACATAATTGTTTTAATATTTAAACAGAAACTATAGTCTGGTACAACTTACTTATCGCACTACAGGGTCTTCTAGTAGTTGGTTTGCGCGCTAGTGCAGCTGAAATAATTAAAATAATTAGAATCAAATTAGAATCAAGAAAAGTTGAGCAATTATTAACTTAATGAATTTACATATACAGGTGTCAAGGCTGTGGACAAGCGCGACGGAGCTGGTGCCCACAACTGGGGATCGGTCAAGGAGGCCATCGATGACGTTAACAAGAACGAAAGCGAGACCAGTGTGAACAATGCCGAGGGCGGCAACAAGGCTGACGAATCGGGCAATGAGCAACAGACGGAGCAGCAGGCGGCCGCCGAGGAGGAGACCAAAGAGCTGACCTTGGACGAATGGAAGGCACAGCAGGGACAGCGCATCAAGCCAACCTTTAACATCCGTAAAGCCGGAGAAGGTTTGTTTACAATGTTTTTTTTTTTCCAAACCTTTTTTTTAAAACTCCCTCGCTATTACTCCCCTCCAGGTGAAGACACTTCGCAATGGAAGAAGATGATTGTCCTGACCAACAACAAGAAGAAGGAGAACGAGAGCGAAGAGGAACTTGAATACGATCCTGCCATGTACCCACAGCGCGTCGGCCGTCAGCAGCGCGTCTTGGACATCCAGTTCAATTTTAACGACGGTCGCCGCGGCGGACCCGGCGGATTCGGAGGTCGTGGCGGTGGACGCGGCGGCCCGCGCCCCGGCGGCATTGGCGGTGGACCGCGCGGAGAGGGCGGCAACCGTGGCGGACCACGGGACGGTGCTTCCACCGGACAGCAATACAACAACAGGGCGGACAATGAGGGCGGCAATGGCGGTGGTGCTTCGGCTGCACCCAACAACCGGCCGCCAGTCGATCGTCGCGGCCCCGGAAACAACAACCAGAACAGTGGAGGCCCGGGACCGAAGCGCTTCGATAGGCAACAGAATGCTGCTCCCAAGGTGAACGATGAGCGCCAGTTCCCCACACTGGCCTAAGTCCAAGTTTAGGCTGGAGGAGAAGGTGAAGGAGGAGTTCTTCAACTTGATGTTTTGGTGACTGAACGGGGCGAGGAGGCAAGAGGAGGAGGCAGAAGCGCTGGCAGAGGAGAGCAGGTTACCAAAATAAAACTTATAAATTACATATATCACAGACAAGAAACCTTCGAAACAAAAATCCAATTGTAGCCGCCATATAAGCCAAAAGCAACAAAAATACCAACATCCAAGCTAATAAATTTAAACATTAGATACCCATAAACGGAAGCAATTTTAGTTTATGCGTGGCCCGACTAATCAGATTTTATCATTAAAATCAGGATCAAGAGCAGGGACTTCGTATAAACTAGCATGCAACACACTCGCACACACACACACACATCCTCCTCATTGGGAATTTTGGTTCTTGGAATTCCCCAAATGGCTAGAGCGGATATTTAAATTGTTTTATTGCATTAACCAAAAGCCAATGCAATTGAAAGTTGTTTTTTTATGTTATCACACACACTCACTTAACTCATCCTAATAATCAAATCACAATTAGTAAGTCGCTAAACCGGCAAATTATGATATGGAACATCACGGCTTGACCGACCGCAGGAAGCAAGTCCCTCAATATATAATAATACAATAGTTTTCATCGAGAGAACAGTAAAGCATTTTCATTACTCATATTATTTTTGTTCTGTTAATATTTACATTTTCGGAGAGATTCTCCTCGAAGTTGTAAGCTTTTATTTTTACTATGTTAACTTTTATTTAAAATAAAGCAAAACTAAATGGACAAATATTTAACTCAGTAGTTGGAAAAATACAAAACAAAAAAAACAAAAAATATGAAAAACTGAAAGAATAGTAAGTGTTAAAACCTTTGTAATTGTGTTTCTTGATGCAAATTCTACGATTTAACTTTTAAATTTAATAATTATAAAGCAAACCTATGCATCATATATACTACTTTTAAATATAAAAAAAACCTAACTGAAAAAAAACACACACTGAAATACAAAAAAACAAAACAATATTACTTTAAGCATTATTAAAGAAATAAACAGAAACAAAAATTAATTATATATTGAATAACCATTGGAGCAAATATAAACCTTAATAAGTAGATTTAAAATTCCACCAACAGTTGGAGAGCGCTTTCAAGTCAAGACGGAAACAAAATCCTATAATCCTACTATGCTAACACACAAGATCCCTGTAAAATTGTTCTTCTTCTACAATTAGAGATTGTATAAATTATATATGAGATATATATATATTCGTACATAAACCGAAAAAATCAATGATAGGGATAGACACTCACACACACGAGAAAACCAAGAACAATTTTATGACAGAAATCGAAGAACTCAAGCAGCAGATCAAGAAAGAAAAACGTAAATGAAATGAATCCAGAAACATAAACAGAAAGAGAAACAGAAACGTAGGAGAAAGCACTTAGATGAACAAAATATACGACATTTTTGAAATAATGTATTTTGACCCAAAGAACAAACCATTCAACAGCAAACCGTGTTGAGAACTCGTTTAAACGTAAAAATGAAAATTAATTTGATAAAATAAACAAAAAAAGGAAAGTCTCCGAGTCTAATGCTTGAAGGGGAAGGAATTGGTAAAGAGGGAACAGAGTGGCAGTGGCTGCCTACTGCAACGTGTCTAGTCACGCATGCGCAGTGCGGAAGCGGAATAAACGGAATTGAAACGTAAACTTATGAGAAGCAAACAGAGGGGAAAAATCACAATAAATGTATGAAAAGATGGAGCGAACGCACAAGTTTCTTTTGGGCGAAAAGAAAGATCTGGAAGTTCCAGTGCCTGAATTAGAAGGATTTGGTGAAAAGTCGACAGAATAAAAAGTAGTTGCGTCTACTGCCTTTCAATGGCCGTCGACTGCAACGCGTCTAGACACGCATGCGGAATACGGACGCGGAACGTACGGAAATGAAACAGGGGAAATTATTATGAGCGATTGAAAAAGTAAGGAAATGCTTAAGTTGCTGTCGTTAGAAAAAATTATCCTGAATGAAAAGGAAAATGGACCGGAAGGAATTGGTAAGAGCAGAATCTAAATAGCCTTTCACTGCAACGACGAATGGAACTGGGAAAATTATGAGAAATAAGTGAAAAGGGGGGAAATCATTAAAAACAAATATAAAAAATTGAAAGAAATTTGCTTTAGTTGCTTTTGGGCTAAAAGAACAAAAGAAACTACTTCTAAACATCTAGAAGTAGCCCCAATGCTTGAACAAAAAGAAAGCGAAAATGGAATTTGGGGAAATGGGGAAATGGGAAAGATCTAGAAGTTCCAATGCTCAAACAGGAAAAAATTGGTAAAAGAAGAAGAATAATGGACAGAAGGAAAAACTTTAAAATTCTAGCGATGAATGGCATGGAATCGGTGAAAAGGCGAAAAAACAATAACAGAAAGAACAAAAGCACAAACAGATAATAAAAAAGCAGAAACGGAAAGGCTGCATATGGTTTTGAGAAAAAAGAGAAAAATCTGCAAGTCCTAAAGCTTGAATGAGAATAAAGGAGGAAGGAGGAAAGGGTGTAAGGAGGAAGAAATTTGTGAAGGAAAACCTAGCCTAGTTACGCATGCGTAGTATGGACGCGTGACACGCGGAATCGTGCTACGAAAATGAAAAAGCTAAAACGCTTCAATTACCTTTGGCCAAGAAAATTGTCTTTAATTTTAGCTTATGAAAATCTTTCAAAGTATAAAAAAGCACGAATAAAAAGGAATAAGACGAAAAAGAATTGGAGAACTCTGAATTAAGCACTGAAATTGTAATTAGCAATGGTTTTCAAGAACAATTTCAATTTAATCCGCGAATAAAAAGAATTAAGGCAAACACGAGAGAGGCAGAACAAACCGACTGAATGATTTGCAAAAATGTATCACGGAATTGGATTTAAGAATTCTTTCATAAAACTTTTAATTTAAAACACGTACCAAGTTTTTAAGTTCTTTGGTAAAAAAGATAAAGCTTTTAATAGTTTACTTGCCAATGGCTCGGTTCAGCTTGCACAATTCACTTTTTTATAATTAAACTTTTCACTGATAGCTTTTTTAGTTTTTTTTTCAAGAGCTGTTGACTGGGACAGATCACAGGAGAAAATGAAAGAATTTATGAAGCCAAAGGCGCATGTCAAATGTCAGTCAGGGTTGCCGATTCTCCAACAGCTCTGTAAAGGACTCTGTTAAGCTCCAGTGACACTGTTATTGCAAAATCAAGCTCTGGCAACTCTACGAACTAACGGTAAATGAAGCACGAAAACAGAGGCGAGAAAAAGACGCCATGCGAATAAGAGTGTAAGAAAGAACTTGGAGAATGTGTGTGTGTGTAGATTACTTGACATTTGTATGAAAATTTTCTTATTTGGAAGATGGGTGTAATGAAGGAATTGAAGAATCAAAGAATGTTACTTGCAAAGTGCACGTTTTAAGGCTTTTTTTCACATAAGCAAACGAAAATACGTACAAAAAGGAAAAAAAGTTAATGAAAATACTCGAAAGTTCTTTGGAATAATTTTGGGGTTTCTCTCTTTTATACTAAAAGGAAATTTTATTTGGTATTGCCGACGATCTCAATGAAAATCTTAGGGACTTTGGACTAATCACTTTTTCATTGGTTATTTCGATTCTTTGAACTTTTTACAACTAAAAGAGAATAAGAGAAAAAGTAGTAGCAAAAGATTCATTTCATGATTTTCTTCCCCGAAATGAATTACTGCCATTGGAAAAAGACAAGACCGATCATGGCTTTTTTATGCGAATATTGGGTTGAAAAATTACCGTATAATCGAATTTCTTTTGAATTTTGTAGTATTCAGTTTTAAAAAGGTAGATTTTTTTAATGCTTTGTAATGGAATTTAATGTTAAAAGCCGCACAAAAAAGAAATGGAAAGCGAAAAATTTTAATTTGCACACAAAATGATTTTTACTTTAAAACCTTATTTAGGCATGATTTATTGAAAAAGCTTGAGAAAAACATATATAAAACTCACCTGATAAGTTAGTTGAATAAAATATTAAAGTATTTCACCAAAATTTAACTTTTTCACTGCACTTCTTTGAAGCTTCTTCGCCGGCGGGACCGGAAGTGAGCAGAAGGTTGTTTAATGGGACCAAGTGAGAACATTTGGCTTATGGCAAAATAAACTTGGCGTTTCTATTTTAGAGCGGAACGGTCCCACATAACCGGTTTAAAATCATTTAGAAAAATGAAGTTTGTTTTAAAAAAAATTAATGAAAACAGTATTGAAATTGGTTTTTAATTCATAAAAAAAAAATATATTTCCTGAGACGAGCATTAACAGTGAGAACCGTATATGAACAGCTCGCGTGCTAAATTTTTCGATTGTAAGTCGCTACCAAATAGAAATGGTACGCTTTAAATGTATGCAATATTTTGCGTTTTAAAATATTTTAAACAAACACACATATAACTTAAATTGGTTAGTTTCTGCAAATTTGTACATAGTTTATCGGTTAAATTTTTGGCGCCTACCATTTTCAAGCAGTTTTCCATCTCTAAAAAAGGCTAAAAAAACTCTAAAGTATTTCAGTGATGTGCAACGCCAACGTCGAAATATATCGATGAATTTTAGTGAAAGACGGTCACTCCCCCGCACGTTCTGCGAATACAGAAAGAAAATATAAACAACTTCTGTGGGATACATTTAGAAACTAATAAAAATCTAGGCATTCGCAGTTATAAACCAGGCCTGAAATAAACTTATATTTCTTTATAAGAACTGAGGATTATTAATTTCTAACATAAAGCTGATTTTGCCGTCCAAGGGGTGCCGCCAAAGAATCCACACTGTCTTCCAAGTAGTGCGGTAACATAAAATTACACGAAAAAATCACCACAACGTTTATAGGAGCGAAACAAGGTAATTATCGTATACTTTTACCAAAGGCCCGTGACATGGCACAGCATATGGGACCTCGGAAAAAGGCAGTTGGCTGCTAACCTAACCTCTGTTCTTTGGTTCCTTCCCGGCAGTTTCTGGCGGACAAAATGAGCGTGGAGGACGAAGTGTTCCGGATTCAGAAGAAGATGAGCAAAATATCGACCTCAAGCGACGGGACAGTGAGTTGGAACACAGTAAAGACTCTGCACTGTAACTGTTTAAACTAAAATTGTTCTATTCTAGGGACAAGATCAGGCATTGGATCTGCTGAAGACACTGCAAACGCTGAGCATCAACCTGGAAATACTGACCAAGACACGGATTGGCATGACTGTTAACGAACTGAGAAAGAGCAGCAAGGACGAAGAGGTCATAGCGCTGGCCAAGACGCTGATCAAGAACTGGAAGCGGTTTCTGGCCAGTCCGGCGCCAACGACGCCGAATAATAGCTCGGCCAGCAAGGAGGGCGCCTCCAACAGCAGCAGCGCCTCAAAAACCTCATCCACCGCCAGTAAATCGTCCTCCAGCAAGGACAAATCCAGCAGTAGCAGCAGTTCTTCAAAGGACAAGCGCGAGGAGAAGAGGCCATCGTCGTCACAGACATCGTTCCCATCTGGGGGAATGACGGATGCAGTGCGCCTTAAGTGCCGAGAAATGCTCACCAATGCCCTAAAGATTGGCGAGGTTCCCGAAGGATGTGCCGAGCCCGAGGAGATGGCGGCCGAGCTGGAGGACGCCATTTACGCCGAGTTCAAGAACACTGACATGAAGTACAAGAACCGCATCAGGTCGCGTGTGGCCAATTTAAAGGATCTTAAGAATCCTGGCCTGCGCGGGAACTTCATGTGCGGCGCCGTGTCTGCCAAGCAACTAGCCAAGATGACGCCCGAGGAGATGGCCAGCGACGAGATGAAGAAGCTCCGGGAAAAGTTTGTCAAGGAGGCCATTAACGATGCCCAGTTGGCCACCGTGCAGGGCACCAAGACAGATCTCCTTAAGTGCGGCAAGTGCAAGAAGCGCAACTGCACCTACAACCAACTGCAGACCAGATCCGCGGACGAGCCGATGACCACCTTTGTCATGTGCAACGAGTGCGGCAACCGATGGAAGTTCTGCTAAGTCCCAAAGTCCCACACTCCAAATCGTACATCCACCACCACTATATTCTTATTAATTTGTAAAGACACACATTTAACAATTTTGTATTCGCCGTGCCAGTTTACACGTGGAGGCGCCTATACTGACCACCTAAGAGAGATGAGAAATTTCAATAAACGAGAACTATTGATAAAACTATCTACTGTGGCATGCCGGTGATAAGGCACTTGGACTGCCACATGCTGTTTGTGTTTCTGATAACGCTGGTGCGTCGGGCTAGCCATTCAAACCAGTTTCTAGTTCCAAGTCTGTCTTTGGTTTTAGAAAAGGCGCTCTCTTTGGGAGATGTGTAAGATTTTAAATTTGGGAAATGTAAAGATTTACTCTAATTCGAATATTTTCCAATTGGATTAAATAATAGGGTTTGGTTGTTGGTTCCTAAAGTGTATTTTATTAATTTTCTATAAATGTATTTAATTTAGGAAGCAAAAAAATTCATATTTGACGTACCAGTACTGCAACATTAGCAATTCTTGCACCATTAGCGCTTTGCTTATAGAACCATAAATAATTCTTAAAATTTTCATTAAAATGCATTTAATTAAATTTAAATTTTGATGGGCCGATTTTAAAAAAAATTGATGTACAGTCCCTCTGTTACTACATTTTAGTTGAATAACAGGGCGCGAATTCCTGAACCGGAACTAGTCACTTACATAGTTCGTTCAGCTGGTTCCAAATTTACAGTGCAAAATATCGATAAGACAATCGATATCGTCAAGGGCGGTCAAAATGTAAGGATTTAAACATTAACATTAGTTCCAGACTAAAATATTAAACCTAAACTTACCATATTCCACCGTTCATTGTAAGAAGATGACCAAGTTTACTGTCAACTGTATCAATTTTAATCGAATATAATTTATAATTTATTGATATAATAGATTTGACGTCAACTACAACGCACTTTATGTTATTATACCGTTAATATTAATATCTTTAAATTTAACTAAATTACACATTTCCGATTCATTCGCTGTTTATTTCTAAATGTTTATAAAAGTTTGAATGCAAATTAGACATAAAACAAATCCATAGTCTGCTGCGACTGCCTGGACCCCCCCAATTGGGCTCCATTGCTTATATGTGTTTACAAATCTATGTATCTTAATATATAAATAGTGAGAATTGGTTGATCTTTGTTTAAAAGCTTTTAGACGACGTTCGCATTCGCGTCGTGGCTACTAACAGCTCCCATCAATAACCTGCCTGCTGCATACAGATATACAGATAAATGGTACAAAAATAATGATTTGCAATAACGATCGTTAAAGCCTTTGACTTATACACACAGTAGGACTAACTAAGTAGTAGCGCTCCATGCTCAATGATACAGTGCTTGCTGTGCGATCGGATGTGTCACATAATTTAATGTAGCCTATACTAGCTGCTAGGTATTTCTTGTACAGATCATCTACGAGCTACAATGAACGTATTGTATGCTGGTTCGATTCCTTAGGTCTAGGGATTTTATGTACAACTCAGGTTCTAGATCGGGTGCCGGCACCTCACGTCTGCGTGCGTCGCTCGTAGTCACTGCGTCTGTAGTCAGCCGGATAGTCGCGCGGCATAACCGGATAGCCCCGGGGATCACTGCGATATCCAGGTGGCGGTGGCGGCAAGCCTGGTACGACTCCATTCGGCATATAGTAGGGCGGCAGGTAATGGTTTGAGTAGGCATGCGGTGGCAGGTGGGCGGAAGGATATCTAAAATAATAATTTATGCATTATTTCGAAATGGTTGATGGTACGGGGGATATAGTATACTGGACGTGAACTCACCTACGTTTATCTGGGCGTCGGTCGCGATCTCGTTCACGATGATCGCGATGATACCCACCGGAAGCACCCCCACTTCGGGGATAACCTGGGTCGTACCTATCCCGTTTATAGTCGAGGCTGTACCTGGAACAGAAGAAAGCGGTTAGGAAGCCCGAATGACATACTGGAGTGTATCTGGTTACCGTTCCCGGGCGTGCCACCGCTCGGACTCTGGCGTGTAGCCGGAGGGGGCAGGCGGTGGCTCGTAACCAGCACGACCACTACGACTGTTGGGTGTGGAGGGCGAGTTGAGGCCTTGGCGTCGGGAGTTACTGCTGCCGCTGCCCTCGTAGGAGCCACCAGTTCCCGGAGGCGCGCCACTTCCACCCGCGAAGTAGTCCCCCCTTTGGTGCTTCTTTCGATCCTCGTGGCGCTCTGTATTGAGACGCTTGAACGACATCGACTTCAGTTGGTCGCTAATGCCTCCGCCGGGAATCCCCGCTATGGCACTGCTGGCATCCGCATCGTTCTCGTCCCGTTTCCTCTTCAGCGGCGAGTCGTTCGCAAAGCGTCCAGAGGGAAGAGTGCCGCCAGGCTCCGAGAACCGCGACTGGCCGCTTCGTTCTTTGTCCTTTTTCTTCTTTTTGCCGGCGCCCTTGTCCCGCTCCTTGTCCTTCTCCTTGTCAGTCGGAAGCCCATTTCGTTTGGATTTGTTCGGACTACCCGCCGCATCCTTGACTCCATCCTTGGCTTTTCCCTTCCCCTCGCCCGTCTCCTGCTTGAGGGCGTGCTTGTAGATTTTGAAGAGACGCTTTGCGTCCAGCTCTGTGAACTTGGACACAAAGTACCACAGATTGCTGCGCCACTCCTTCTTCTCCGAATCGCTGTATGGCTGCAGGCACACGTCGATCTGCCGGCCAATTTGCAGCAGGCAGTCCTTGGTGTGCTGCATCTGGTCCTGCTCCGACAAATTCAAGTCCGGCTGGTCGAGAGCCTTCAGGGCCTTCTTGACGGGCCGCATCTTCTCCTTGCACTCGTTGAAAATGCTGGGATCCAAGTCGCCCAACACCTCCAGGGCTCGGGGCTCGTTGTTGGCCGTGAAGTGCATGGGCTTGTTGCCGTTGTTGTCCGAAGCGCTCGTCTTCTTAGTCCGGGCCTTAGCCCTCTTGGCCTTCTTGGCGGGCCCGCTGGACGGCTCAGCGGTGGAAGCATTGTGCGGCGATGCGGCGGACTGATCCGCTTGGCTGGCACTGCTCTCGGTGGCCACCGCAGCCTCCTCGCCTTCATGCGGTTTGCTCTCCACATTAGAACTGGCTCCATGCTGAGTGGCAGCTTTGCTCTCGACGGCCTTGGAGGTTCGAGGACGACGTTGGCGCCGCTGCCCCCCCTTCGTGAGCTCCACATTCTTCTTGATGATCTTTAGCAGGTACTCGGCTCTCGTCTGGAGCTGCTTCGCTTGTGGCTTGCGTGTGTCGTTGAGGAGGATCTTGTCCGTGAGCTTGAGCGCGGGATCCAGCTTCATTTGCTCCCAGGAGCCAATGCCGTACTGGTATATACCGCACAGCAGCTTGGTGTCCTCCTCGGCGCCCCACTCCACGTCGAAGACCGGAGCCCGAGTCTTGATGTTGAAGGTCCAGTTCTGACGCTCCTCGGCCGCGTTAGGCATGATCTCGTTCAGTGGCTGCAGCTCCTGCTCGGAAGCTAACAGCTTTTTGGCGTTGAAAGAGACGCCCCCCAGCTTCACCGAGAAGGTGGCGCGGGCCCGGCGCTGCTTGGCGCCCGGTGTCTCATCCACCGTCGAAGTCTTGTTCTCTTCCTCCTTGTGTTCGTCCAGGAACTGGACGCAGCGGTCGTGCAGCATCTCGCCCAGTCGTTTCAGCTCTGCCAGCGGCTTCTCCTGGAGCTCAGCATCGCAGGCGATGGCCTCCAGCCGGTGCAACGGAGCCGGAAACTTCTTATAGCTGCGGATGAAGCGCCTCAGCTCGGCGTCCGTGAAACCAGTTATCTTCTCCTTCATGGCGGGTCGTCCCCGTTTTCGAGGGCGTCCGTCGTCGCCGCTGCCCTCCGAGCCCACTTCATAATCGGAATCGGCGGAGTCGTTCGCTTGCTGCTTGCCCTTACCCTTTCCGGCACCCCGCTTTCCATCGGCCTGGTTGGCGGCCGCAGTCTTCCTGCGGGGCGGAAGGTAGAGGTCTTCCATCTCCTTGGCTCTCTCCTGGTCCTCGATGACCTTGCGATAGCCCTCCGGAATAATGTCATCCCAGTCCTTGCTGTCGTCCTCCTCGTCGCCAGCGTTCTGCTCCTGTTTGGCGGCCGACTCGCTTGGCTCCTCCTCGAAGGCGGCTATGCTGGCCACCTTGAAGGCGGACAGCAGGTCATCGCCCGGCATTTCGGGGTCCTCGTTGCGGGTCTCTGCCCTTCGCAGGATCTCGTCGATGTCGCAGACCAGTTCGTCATCGTGCTCCTGCTCATCCTTGAACAGCTCCTCGGCGCCGAACTTCAGAATGGCGGACAAGTCGTCCTTGTTGAAGGGATTCGAGTTGGAGGAGTGCCCGTTGCCGCTCTTGTCCAGCACAGTTCGACCCGTGGTGTCCATTCGCTGGATGACGAGGTGGTCGAGAACCATTTTCTGCTTGGCACGCTCCACAATCTGCTCCTCCACGGATCGGGCGGTGACCAAGCGATAGATGTTCACTTGATTCTTCTGCCCGATGCGATGGGCTCTGGCCTGCGCCTGCAGATCGTTCTGCGGATTCCAGTCCGAGTCGAATATGATCACCGTGTCGGCTGTGGCCAGGTTAATGCCCAGTCCTCCAGCCCTGGTCGAGAGCAAGAAGCAAAAGTCCTGGCTGCCCTCGGCGTTGAAGTGGTCCAGGGCCTGTCGCCTCATTTCTCCCTTAATACTGCCGTCGAGGCGCTGGAAGGGGAAGTGGCGCTTCTGCAAGTAGTCCGCCAGGACGTCCAGCATGCGCACCATCTGGGAAAATATGAGGACCCGATGGCCCGTCTCCTTCAGGCGGCACAGCAGCTTGTCCAACAGCACCAGCTTGCCGGATCCCTTAAGCAACGTCTGCAGCGCCTCATCCTGCTGCAGGCCCATCAACTCGAACTCCGAGGGCCGAATGAGCGCCGCGTGGTTGCAGCACTTCTTCAGCTCAATGACTATGTTGAGGAAGGTGGAGGTGCTGCCGCGCTTGCCCTTGCGAAGGGCGTCAAAGTTCTTGGTGAGGATCCACTTGTAGTACTGCTTCTGCAGCGAGGTCATCTCCACGCGCAGAATCTGCTCCACCTTGGCCGGCAGCGACTTCTCCACGTCCTTCTTCACCCGGCGCAGAATGTACGGCTCCAGCTGCTGGTGCAGACGCGTGTAGCCCTTGTCCTCCGCGTTGCCGTGCTGCACCTCGAAGTTCTCCCAGGTGTCGAACTTCTCGGGCATGATGAAGTGCAGCAACGCCCACAGCTCCTTCAGGGAGTTCTGCAGCGGTGTGCCCGTGATCAGCAACCGGTGGTTGGTGTCGAACTCCTTGAGGGATTTGTACAGCAACGAGTCGTCGTTCTTCAGGCGATGCGCCTCGTCCACCAGCAGCGCTGCCCACTGCAGGGTGCCAAGGAACTGCTTGTCCTTCAGAACGATTTCGTAGGTGGTGAGAATGCAGTTGAACTTGAGGCGCTTGGAGCCCTCGAACTGCCATTCGTACTGCTGGATTAGCTCGCGGGACTTGATGTCGCCCAGGTAGGTGACCACATTCAAGTCCGGCGCCCACAGAGCGAACTCGCGCTGCCAAGCGGTCATCGTACTCAGCGGCACCACGCAGAGGAACGGCCCGTACAGATGGTGGACCTTGAACAGTGCGTACAAGAAGCAGATCGTCTGGATGGTCTTGCCCAGGCCCATCTCGTCGGCCAATATGACCGAGTTCTCCTTGCACCACGAGTGCAGCAGCCAGTTGAGGCCGTCCATCTGATAGTCCCTCAGGGTCAGGCCGGCAGCCAAAAACTCTGGTTGGTTTTTCAGCCGCGAGAACTTCGGTCGGTACTTGAGAACCCGACAGTGGCGCGAGGGTGTACACTTTGAGCATTCGCGCTCGCTGAACTGTTCCGCACAGCGCTGCCACTTGCGCATCACCAGAGCGGCGTCCTCCCATGTGGACTCCGCGTAGGGCAGCGACTGCCACTTGCACAGGTATTCCTCGGTTCCGTCATCGGGTTTGGAGCCCTTGGCGATGATGCGGTCCACGTTGTTGTATGACTTGAGCAGCTCTTGCTGCAGCTCGAGCTGGCACTCGAAGTAGTCGATGTCCTCGGGCCCAGCGTACCGACGCCAGTAGGACAGATCCTGCTCCTTCTTGATGAAATTGTCCAGCTTCTTCATGCCCTTGGCCTTCATCTCGCGCAGAGTGCTCTCGGACTCCCACGTGTTGTGAATGTACGACCAGCCCTTCCATTTTATCAGGAAGTGGCACTCCGTGTTGCCATCATTCTCAGGGTTCTGCTGCTCCCCGTATCCAGCGTTCGGATCAAATCCGTTCTCCTCGATGGCGTAGATCGTCGTCTGGTTTCCAGTGCATCCCTTCTTGCCCATTCGCTGAGCCAGGATGCGCTCGATGGTTTCGCACTTCTCCTCCTCCTCGGCGGCGGCAGCAGAGGCAGCGGCTTGACTCTCGTCATATTCAAAGTCAAGCAGGTCTTCAGAGTCGGTAGCCTCATCCTCGGATGCCTCCTTGTAGCTAACGGCAGCGGCGGTGCGTCTAGTAGCACATCTGCTCCAAATCAAACCCCCGATTAGAAGATAATGATGGTAAATGATATATATATGCGTTACCGTTTGCTGGCATCATCGTCATCACTGTCCTCGGAGCTGAAGGACTTTATCCTGCGTCGTTGCTGCTGTTGAGCTGCCTTGTTCCTGGCGGATGCGGCTGCAGGCTTGCGTTTGCTGGTGGCGGATGTGTCCTCGTCACTCTCCTCGCTCTCGTCACTTTCGTCCGAGTCCCAGCTGGCAAATGAAACAATTGCGTTCAGAAAACAAATGTGGAAAACGAAAGCCCTAAAATCTCACGTTTTCTTTTTCTTCTTGGGAGCTGGAGGACGCCTCGTCTTGTCGGCTGCGGTTGGCGGCTTACGAGCCTGGCGTGTACGTTTTGGTCTGTAATCCTCTTCATCGTCCTCCTGTCGAAAAAAAGTCTCGATATCAAGTGGTATTGTCCATCAAACCATCAAATCCCGACTTACGCTGCTGCTGCTGGACGTGGAAGAGACTTTGGCGGAACTATCACTGGCTTCATCGGCAGAGGGTTCGCTGGTTGCAGGCTGCTGCCCAGCCTCATCGTCGTCGTCATCGTTCCCCGTTCGCGAGGAGCTTCTGTCGACGCTCTCGTTCGATTTGCTGTTGCTCTGTGCCTCAGGCTGTGCCTCAGTCTCCGATTCCGAATCGCTGCCACTCGAACCAGCACTCGAGCTGTCCTGATCGTCTGTGAATCCATTTGTTTTGCTGTCTGCTTGCGCTGCAGCTGCCGTTGGCGGAAAGCCGGCCGTCGCCGTTGACTTGGCTTCCTGATCCGTGGAGGCATCACTAGAGTTTGCAGAGGAGCTGTCCGAATCCGAGTCAGATCCGGATGAGCCACTCCCGCTTCCGCTGCCACTGTTTTCACTGAGATTGGCTTCGTCCCGATTATCATCTTGTTCGTCTGAGCCAACACTATTCGCGGATTCATTGAGTGCCTGGCCATGAAAGAAAGGAAACATTTATGGGATTTGAAGCATAGTTCTTAAGAATAAAAGAATAGTGAAGAATTCTCTTTGTCTAATAGCCCCTAGAGGGATAAAGCGTCTGATGGAGCAGCCGATTTCCATAGAGATTCAACCGGAACTAAGAAACACCTCGAAAACGGATGCATTTTCAATCCTGGCACTGTAATTTGCGGTTTAAATGGCAAAAACTTGGCTGATTTAACGAAAAAAATGATAAAATATTTAAGGAAAATATTTTAATTAATTTTTAATAGAAAAACCGAGTAGTACAAGAATAATCCAGGTACCGGCGTCTATTTGGTGGCCGAAAAACCCAGCAAATCTGTCCAAAATTCGTCAATGAAAAATTTTTACCTTTGGATTTCTGATTACGTAACGGGTGAAAATTTTCAAATAGCACTAGAAAACGATGAAATCCAGGCATTTTTAAGGATTTTTGGAGCCACAGAAGAGGAAAACAAACCGAAAAGGCTGAATTTGACGGGATTTTGCGAAAATGGGTACCCAACCGATTTCCAAAAAATCAACACTGACAGCCACATTAGAGCCTGGAGAGTTGAATGCCATCATTAGATGTGTGAAACAAGGTCCATTTATCGGATAAATCCTTTGATTCGCCAGGCCAACTCATTCGCAGTCGCCCCATCAGCCAGCAGAGTGCGGGTGTCTCGCACCGAGACTCCCGCGGACTTCGGGGCTGAGCAGCCACGCCCACAATACGGAACGTGTGTGTCGTTTCGAGCACTGGATTTTAGTTCATACTCACACGACGACTTTGACATAACTGATGTGAATCGCCTGGTTTCAAATGATGAAAGAAATTCATAGTTTTTTCGACTTTTTTCACACACACCGACTTTCGACATTCACAGCTTTTTCAAGGCCTACTCACCTGGCTCATTATATTGTCGTGGTAGCACTCCCAGTTGCCTTGTAGCGCTCATTAAATACGGGCAAAACACTTGTACACAATCGCTGGCAAATGTTTACGATTTTCCCGTTGGCCACTTGTTTTTAAATGCACTTTTTCGGCACACAAAAGATGTTCACGTCGTCTTCGACTTCTTCTTCTTCTTGTAATAAAAAATACGCCATTTTGTTTTTAGTGCCATCTCTTCAGCCAGAGCTACCTCTATTGCAGCCCTGGTATATTCAGCTTTGCCATCTCTAATAAGCGGATGAAAATAAGTGGCAACTTTAAAGAAGAATAATTTTAAATCTTTTATTTAAAGATTTTGAAACAACAATGTCTGAAAAACTCATTAAAAAAATGTTCATAATAATATTATTTCTTTTTAAAACGACCTTTTTTGTAAAACGTTCGAATAGGTCCATTGTTTTCTGTTAACTTCTCATTAACTAAAGTCCAGCACCCCTTAAAAGGAGCCCCAACCAATTGAAAATATTCGAAATGTTAAAGTAAAAAAACATAGTGTTTAAAATTAAAAATTATGTTTCGAAATTTAGTATGACCGTGATTGCGTGGGCTCAGAAAATATCGATTACTATTTGGCGGGATTTCACAACTGTTATCGGGCAACACTAATTTGTTTTTGTTGCACCTCCTCCTCCGCAGTTACCTAGTTGTTATTACTTTGGATTGGATTTTGTTTTTCGTTGTGAGTTTAGGCTGGACATGTAGATCAGCTGGACGAGAGACGACCATGAAGGAAGTGGGCATAGCTCTGCCCAAGTCGAGGGGAGTCGGCGTGGGAATTCTCGCTGCATTTCTACTAACCTTCATATTCTACTATTTCTACGGGGGATATATGACGTTCGCCGTCTTCGCTTTTGTTCTACTTTGTACGTCAAGTTAATATTATTAAATGGGTTAATGAGTCTAAAAAAGAATTCCCTTTTGCAGTGATATGTTACTATGCACAAGACCTGTTGCTTTACCACCCGGATCTGCCCGCAAATTCGCGAATCTACATTCCGATCCCAAGCATGCATAACCTGCACCACATCACAGTTAGCATCAAGACGCCTGACGGGGTGACGTTGCATGCGTTCTGGATCACCCAGCCGGAGGAGCGAAGTAAGTCAGTGCCAACGCTGATTTACTTCCACGGTAACGCCGGAAACATGGGCCATAGAATGCAAAATGTTTGTAGAAATTCTCAAAGAGATACCACGATGCAGTGCTTTAACCCTTCAATCTTTGTAGGTGTGGGGCATTTATCACCATTTGCACTGCAATATTCTTATGGTGGAATACCGAGGCTACGGCTTGTCCACTGGTGTGCCAACGGAACGCGGCCTTGTCACCGATGCGCGGGCCGCCATCGATTACCTATATACCCGCCACGACCTTGACCACTCACAGCTAATCCTTTTCGGGCGATCTCTGGGCGGAGCTGTGGTAATTGACGTAGCTGCCGACACGGTCTACGGCCAGAAGGTTATGTGTGCCATCGTTGAGAACACTTTCAGCAGCATACCAGAAATGGCAGTGGAGCTGGTGCATCCTTCTGTGAAGTACATACCAAATCTAATGTTTAAGAACAAGGTAAAAGAGGTGCGGTGTTCTTTGGTGGCACTTTAATAATTTTCCAATCATTTCAGTACCAGTCCATTAGAAAGATAGGCAAGTGCTCGGTGCCATTTTTATTTATATCGGGCCTTGCTGACAACTTAGTGCCACCGCGCATGATGCGCGCCTTGTATGCCAAATGCGGCAGCGAGCTGAAGCGCCTGCTGGAGTTTCCGGGCGGCTCCCACAACGATACATGGATAGTAGACGGGTGTGACTCACCGAGAGATCTTTTAAGTACATAATTGGTAATATTTCTCTGTTTCAGGTACTATCAAGCGATTGGAGGATTCTTGACAGAACTGCAGAAGGAGCCGTCTCCGCTGCAAAAAGCTCCCGAGAAGAGCAATGTTTGGGGCGAGCTAGAGCATAAAATTATTGATGTATAGCTCTTGGAATTGAATACATGAAGTGTTCTACTGACTGTGTTAGTACTGCAAATAGTTTAATATTTATACAGGGTTTTAATCCAAGCATTGCCTAGTGTTTTATTTTTGCTGAATATAATTTTTCATTGCGTTCGAAATCTACATACACTAAAGTCTTTAACAATTGGTGACTTAACTGAAATCAATCAGTATTTAAGAGAATAAACGAATAATCTGGTTCAATTAGCTGCTTGCCAGATTCCACTAATGATTCCACTTGGAATATGTTACATGTATTGTTTAAATTTTAATGAAAGTCAACGACAATAGCTCAAGTTTCCTACAGAGCTAACGCAAATCTGGTTCATAAAAAAAAAATAAACCGAAAACTGTTTAGAATCCAATGAAATCTTCATCGGCGCTGTCATCACTGAGGGGTGTAGATGGGCGCTTTTTACAGACTGGTTGATCCTCCTCCACAGGATCTGCTTCGGTAGTTGTAGATTCGGGATTCTCCTCAACCTCCTTGGCTTGCGACCGGTGATGGAAAACAAAGGAGACGCATTTGCTGTCCGTCCAAGCCTGGGCCAGAATGTTGTCGGGCAGGCCGCGATTGTTGGAGCAGTGATACCATTGCGACAAGTGAGATGTGCAGTCCGTGCTTTCGGGGGGAGGCTTCGTTTGGATGTTTTGGACACAACGTTTGCACTTGAGTCTGCAAAGTATTTATTTTAATATCGGATTCAGATCCGTAAAGATAAGGACTCACTTCTCATGCGTGTCGGAAAGGATTTTTTGATCAAAGCTGAACAAATCCTTCAGATCATCGCGGGTGAAATGCTTCTCGGATGACTCGTTGTTGTCAATGATTGTGCTGGACAATGACTTTTTATGGGTCTGCCTTTGTAGGATCTTCTCCTCGATAGTGCCGCTCTAAAAGGATTCTTCAATGATGGATTATTCCTTAAAGTGGCAGTTCCAAATACTCACCGCTACTAGCCGATAAATGTAGCAGGGCTTCTTTTGTCCGTCACGCCACACTCTGGCCATGGCTTGCTCATCGTTGGCTGGATTCCAGTCCGGATCAAACATAAACAGCCGATTGGCTCCAATCAGATTCAAGCCGCAACCACCAGCCTTACTGCTCAGCATGAAGAGAAAGCATTCTGAATCCGGGTCATTGAACTTGTCCACCACTTTCGAGCGCTTTTTAATAGACATGGTTCCATCTAGTCGCACAAAGCCATACTTTCTTTTTCTGGCTAGCTGTTCAAACAAGTCCAGTGTCTGTGTGTAGTTGGAGATGAGGACGACCTTGTCATTGCCATCGGCTCTGATAGCAGCCAGCATGAAGTCGAGCAACATGAACTTGCCACTCCACTCAGGACAGATTTCTCTGAAAGATGAATTGCAATATTTTTGTATTAGTTCGCTATAGCTCCCCTTGTGCTCCTCTTGGGGAGTATCCCTACTTTGGCTTGTAGTTACTAGGCAGCACATTCTGTGAGTTCTCAAATCCTTTCTCCTTAGCTTCGATCTTCGAGTGTATAAGATCTGGGTGGCTGCAAATCTTCTTCAAGGTGGTGATGTCCGCCAATGCCGTCAGCGAGGCCTTTTCGTTGCAGTCTTGGAAAATATTTAAATGCAATGAAGGAAAAGGCCAAGGGATTCGAGCTTACCGGCTAGACTGCGTCGCACCTGGTCCGAATTCAGGAAATTTGTGTAGAGCTGGAGCTGAATGGAGGTGAGCTTGACGCAAATGACCATTTCGAACTTAATGGGCAGGTACTTGGTGAGAATCTGATTTGTGCGGCGGATAATGCATTGATCGACCAGCCCGATAAGCTCCTGGGTTTTCTCGATGGCCTTTTTCCGCTCCCCGTCGGTGGAGTCTGCGTTCTGTCCCCTCAGAATGCTGTTCTCGAAGTTACGCTTGAAATCAGCCGCCGAGCCCAACATTTCGGGATTTACAAAGTTGACCAGGCTGAAGTACTCCGTGAGATCGTTCTGGATGGGTGTTCCCGACAGGAGAACACGCCGCTTCGTTTTCAGTCCCATCAGAGCCTGGTAGGTGAGATTGTCGCTGTTCTTCAGCCGGTGGCCTTCGTCGCAGATCACCATACCAACCTCGTATTTGCAAAGGATCTCGGCGTATATACGAAATGTTTCGTAACTGATGAGCAGGACGGGAGTACCTAATCGGGCGGAGGTCATAGAAAACTGTTCTAAGGCGCGTATGGTGTTCTCTTTGGTGCCACCTTCCATCGCCAGGCAGAGGAGCCGGCCTTGGAGCCACTTTGTGAATTCCTTCTCCCAGTTCTTCACCAGGGATGAGGGCGACACGACTATTGCCTTGTTGATGGTCGGCTTACTTTCGGGGCCCTGCCGCAACAGTGTCCAAACCAGCGTCACGCACTGCAGAGTCTTTCCCAAGCCCATTTCATCGGCCATGATGCACCCGTTGAAGTCGCCCTTCCTGCCTTCCACACATTCATACATAAAGCGCACGCCCTCGCGCTGATGCGGTCGCAGGATGTTGCTCAGCAACGGATCCACCACAACGTGGACGAGCACCTTGCTCGGGTCCATGGACATCCGCTGGTGCTCTGTGTAGTTGGGAGGTTGGAAGAGTACCAGGGCGTTGCAGGCCTGCGGATCGTGAAGAGGGCGCCGGACGACTTGGCGGCGTACGCCCAGGCAGCGATTTCCTCCGTAATCGGGCACATAGTTGTCAATGGGAACCTTGAACTTTCTGGCCAGCACCTGGGCGATGGCTAGCTCGTAGGGACTGTTTGCCGTGAACCGAATGGGCAGGGGAATGTCTGAGTTGGTGGCATCGCGAAGCCCGAACCGCTTGCTCTCCTCGTCCGCATCCGTATCTGTGTCCAGTCGCAGATCCTTCTGACAGGCCCGTTTGTTCTTCTTCTGGAGTAGTGGCGGGGTAAAAGCGTTGCGCGACGCGGCAGGTTGTCCGATCCTTTGGCTGGGCGCCAAGCTGCGCCTCTAAAGGAACTGGTCTTTAAAATCTCACAGTTTTATATAAAAATCGGTGTATTTACCATTTTTACAATTTTGTGGCGGTAGCGCGAACAGTTCTTTGAATGGGAACAATCGCCGATATATATCGATATATCGAAAGCAACTCGGGGGATTAGGTCACACTGCCGGACTCCGCGCAAGTGGTTATTTTGTGATAAAATAAAAATAAACTGAAAACTGCGGCGTTGATAAGAAATACGCTTGGGAGCAAATCGCCAGCAAAGCAGTCTACGGCAAAACACTCCGTCACCCACACACATCATACATCGGGAGTGTTTTGGAGACCCTCTGGCGAGGTTTGGAGGCGTCTACGTTAGCTGCAGTCGTGGTCATTTGTTACTGGAACAGAAAATCAACAAACGAGATTAAGAATAATTAGAATGATATTCGGGACGTTGCCGCACTGCGATGTATGATTCGCAGTGTCGACGCTCAATTGCGGGAACAAGTGCGTAAACCCACATACACGACCGAGCGCACAGCGTCGGACGGAACTCGAAAATTAGGTCGCCGTTTCGGCAGTGGGTGAGCATTTCGGTGGCTATTTTTAAAGCCAAATATTTGTTACATCAAGTTTTTTTTGCTGTTTCGGATTAAAAAGGTAATCAACCGGACCACAGGGCCAAAAGGAGCCGTCAAAAACGGAGACAAGCATTAACACACACAGGCGTATTAGTTTCAACAGCACGTTCAAAGTGAAGGTCAACGTCACAACGGCAACGAACGCAGCTGGAAACAGAAACAAAACCACCAAAAACATCAAGATCAGCTGCCAAAGTTGCTTTTGACCCACACACAATGTCGCTTTACGCTGTCTTCCTCCCCGCTTGTGCCCCTGGTCCCGGCCAGCGGCTGGTGCTTACATTCATATTGGGACTACTGATCCTGGTGGCCTGTGTCCTCAGTACAGAAACCTCCATGCCCACGCAGAACATGTCCAACAAGGAGAGGGCTGAATTGAGGTAAATCAGGCACAACTAGCCATGGATAGTAAGGTGTTTTAGTACTTGGCCAGTAATTAGAAACTAATCTAATCACTGACTATGAAATGTAACAACGTAGATTGCATATTTCGATTAATAACTTGTACATCCAATTGTAGGGAGGAAGCCCGAGATATGTTCTACCATGCATATCGTGCCTATATGGAGAACGCATATCCAGCCGATGAGCTAATGCCACTGTCCTGTAAAGGACGTTATCGAGGAGTAACGCCTTCGCGTGGCGACATGGACGACATTCTCGGAAAGTAAGCTACTTATGTCTATAATCCGATGTTCATTTACTTAAAATCTATTGGTTTTAAGCTTCTCCATGACCCTAGTGGATTCTTTGGACACCCTTGTTCTATTGGGCGACTTTGAGGAGTTCGAACATGCCGTAAAGCTGGTCATTCGGGACGTACAGTTCGATAACGACATCATTGTGTCGGTTTTCGAGACAAATATCCGCATGGTGGGTGGCCTGTTGTCTGCCCACATTCTGGCCGAGTATTTGCAGAAGAATGCCGACACCATGCACTGGTATAAGGGCGAGCTCTTGGAAATGTCCCGAGAGCTGGGCTACCGCCTCCTCCCAGCGTTCAACACGTCCACGGGAATACCCCATGCCCGAGTCAACCTACGACTCGGTATGAAGGACCCGCAGCTGAAGAAGTCTCGGGAGACGTGTACTGCGTGTGCGGGGACCATCCTTTTAGAGTTCGCCGCTCTTTCCCGACTCACGGGCGATCCTATTTTTGAGGTGCGGGCTCACGCTGCCATGGATGCGTTGTGGAAACTGCGGCACCGCGGCTCGGACCTGATGGGCACCGTGCTCAACGTCCATTCTGGCGACTGGGTGCGTCGCGACTCTGGAGTCGGGGCAGGAATCGATAGCTACTATGAGTACCTCTTCAAGTCGTATGTCCTCCTCGGCGACGACAAGTACTTAGCCCGATTCAACCGGCACTATAATGCCGTGATGAAGTACGTCAGCGAGGGACCCATGTTGCTGGATGTGCTCATGCATCGCCCACATGCCAAATCCAAGAACTTTATGGATTCGCTGTTGGCCTTCTGGCCAGGCTTGCAAGTCCTTTCCGGGGACCTAAAGCCTGCGGTTCAGACCCACGAAATGTTGTATCAAGTATGTTATAGGACTACATTCTATAGTAAAGATTCTAATCGGACTTCTTCCACAGGTTATGCAGATGCACACATTTATTCCTGAAGCCTTTACCGTGGACTTCCAAATCCACTGGGGCCAGCATCCATTACGACCCGAGTTCATCGAGTCTACATACTTCCTGTACCGAGCCACCGGAGACCATCACTATCTTCAGGTCGGCAAACGTGCCCTAAAAACACTCCAGCAGCATGCAAAGGTCTCTTGTGGATATGCAGCCGTCAATGATGTTCGCACCGGAAAGCACGAGGATCGAATGGATTCGTTTGTCCTTTCCGAAACAATCAAGTACCTGTTTCTGCTCTTCTCCGATCCCCACGATTTGATAATCAACATTGACGAGTTTGTCTTCACAACCGAGGCACACCTGCTGCCCCTTTCGATTGCCCAATTGGGGAATGCAACCTTTAGTAAGTATCCGGGCGCTAGAACGCCACGTAATATCATAAATTACGCAGATGTTTCTTAAAATAACGCATTTATAGGCTTTCGCCAAACAGAAGAGCACAACGTACTCGACTTCATGCGCACCTGCCCCAGTTCCAATAAGCTTTTTCCTGAGAAAGTACGCAAACCACTGCGCAACTTCATTACGGGCTCGTGCCCGCGCACCAGCGGCGGAAAGCGACTCAGTGCCCTGGATTTTCAGGCAAGCAACGCGGATCATCTGCGAGCTGTTTACGACATGGGCATCACCATGGTTTCGGTAGGCGACCGCAGCCAAGGCAAGGTGCGACTGTTTCATAGTTTCTATAATGTAAGTTTTTTTCTGTTTCGCGTTTTTTGGTTCCGTTCGCATCATCCGATATCGAATTTTCTCTCAAAATCATCCTATCCCCTCCATCATTTTCACATTAATTTTCCCGAATATTACCTAATGTCCATGCATCGGTATGTTTCTGTAGGCCAAGAGCCACGAGGAAGGCGAAATGGGATTGCAGTTCATGCAGGAAATGCTCGAACTGACCAAGATGCAGAGCATGAACCAGCTGGCGGCCTTACAGGTAAGATTATAGCGACTAAACCATTGGGATGACCTTCTAATAAGACTGTTGCATGTCCCACAGGCTGTGGCTTTCACTACGGATGAAAAGGGCCAGGACTGGGCCGCCCTGATGGCCGGACCATCGCACTTTAGCCCGGAGCTAATTGGCGATCAGTTTGTGGAGGGCGACGTTGTGTTGTCCAAGCCGCTGCGCGCCTGCGACGACAGGCTGGACAACGCGGCAGAGGCAAAGGGTAAGGTGCTGGTCGCCGAACGCGGCGATTGCACTTTTGTGAGTAAGGCGCGTCTGGCTCAGAAATCGGGCGCAGCGGCGCTTATTGTCTGTGATAACGTCCCGGGATCTTCCGGGGAGACACAGCCTATGTTTGCTATGTCCGGTGACGGGAATGACGATGTCAACATTCCGGTCGTGTTTATGTACAGTGTAGAGTTTGGAAAACTGTCGGCAATAATGAAGAGAAGAAAGCATCCGCTCAGCGTTCGCATCATGCAGATGGTGGAGTTTAAGCGCTGGCAGCTGGCAAAGGAGCAGCGAAAGAACGAGACGGCGACCACCTCAAGCCAAAAGCCGGAAAAGGAGTTGTAGTGCTTGCTGCTACCTACCCGCCCCCAGCTTCAGCGCCAGCCACTGTTCCTGCGATGGGGCAACTCGTACTCTTAAGTAGTGTCCGCCAAAGTAGATATCTTTTTTCAGGATTCATGGAAGAGCAACTAAATTTGAAATTCTTGTACTTTACTAGACATGTAAGACTTTCTTAACTCATCCGAAATCCGAGGGAAATTGGGGAGAGACGTAATGCTACCCAATCGTATCCACATCCTCGTACATTCTTCTGTGTAAGGTTGGGCCGCAGCCTCGCGATTTTTTAGATGAATTTTACTTTTTTGTAAGTAAAGCTCGTGTACATAAACTAGATCATAACGACTAACTAAAAAGTAATTAATTAAGCAGAACTAGTTAGAAATGTAGCATCTCGGGAAGGCGAGCGAAAGTGTTTAGCTAAACTAATAGATTGTGTGCAAAAGTAGTTTTAAATATAAAATTAAAGAAACGAGGAGGACTTTTATTGGGGAATTGGGGACACAAAGGGTAGTACTATCCTGTGAACTCTGATACATATATAATAAAAGGTGATTTTTATTTTAGTTTACATTTCCATTTAATGACATTCTTTCATTTTGGTGTTTCCTTTGAACTTATGCATGTATGATGACACTTAATCGGCTACTCCAGCTCAGAGCACAAAATAAAATAATTAACCTACTTGAAGGATTTTGTTTTTCTTTGAGAAAAAAAAGTAAAGAAAACTCAATGATTTAAAAATACTTAAACAACGAAAGTGAGGGCTCACTTGGCTCCTATCGGGCCTGACTTACTAGGGACTTAGTCTAGATGAAACAACTGGATGATGATGCGGTCTTTGCGGATTAACTATCGGAATTTAATCAATTGATAATTTATACTCGCAGCACGTCCAGGACACATTCCTGGTACACTGGGGTTCTCAGTTCAGTTCACATTTAAGGCGTCAAGAGATTTGCTTTCGATTTTGAATGGTTTTTGGACAAAGAGTGTGTGTGATTTAACACAAAATACTTGCTTCAAGGCGACGACTACCTACAATTTATCTACACTGGCGAGCTGCTGCTGCTGGATGGCCAGCTTGAGCATGTGGTTCGCGATGCTGTCCACCGTTAGAGACTTGGGCGACATCTCGACCACTTGCGACTTGTCCCGGACGTAGAAGCGCTGCACTCCATTCACCTGCGGCGCCAAATAGGTCAGTTGCCGCGGGTCGACGGCGCTTATCCAGGCCTCGTCCTTCGACGCCGACTTAATGATTAGATGATCTCCGGTATTCACCGACTCCAGGTGCGTCTCGAACTGGGGCGACGGCAGGCGATGCACATGCAACAGACGATGCGACGGCGTGGCATACGAGATCTCGCAGGCAATCACATGAACTTCGGCCTGTTTGGCCGGCTCCTTCATCAGCTGGTACAGCACCAACATGCTGCTCTGGTCCAGATCCAGGCTGGGATAATGCATTGCCCCCAGACACCTGCCCAAAGGACGGCCCAAGTCGTAGTTCATCACTATGTCTCCACTGCGGTGATCCCAAACGGTTATGCGGCAGTATCCATAGCCAATCAGACGATCCTCCGACACGCACTCGATATGGTAGAGCTCGTGGCGCAGGGGCTTGAACTCCCGAATGGAAGCTAGTGTGTCCAGGTTTGGGGTGAGGGAGTATTTGCACATGCCGGAGCGTGGCTTCCCCACCCCGACCGCTTGCTGCCAGGCCATGACAAAATATCTCGACTCCGCGATACTGGTGTATATCACGTTCGATGGTTCGCTACCGGATGAGGCAATCATTAGACTCTGTTGTTCGTCAAGTTCCTTACCAGACTTACCAGTTTACGGAGTCCAAGTGCACGGAATGCATACGGGGCCGCAACTCCTCCTCACAAAAATAGTACACATTCACATGCAGCGTCGTCAGCTTCACTTCCCGCTTGTGCTGGTCCAACGGACGACACCGCATTTCCAAGTAGACCGGCGTGGAGTTGTGCATGCACATGCGACTTCCATAAGGAGCTTTGATCTCAACATCTGTAGGGCGTGGAAAATCAGATGAGGTGCCGAAATCCATGCTCGATCTAGTCTTACCTGTGGTGGTTCTCCGCACTCGCCCTAGGTTCATCCACCGCGGGGACAGTTCTACCTCGAGATCCTTCTTTGCAGGCTGCTCCTCTGCGGCAACTTTGGTCCCACTCAGGGGCGAGAAGGTGTGCCGCGGATGGTGTAAGACATTGAACACCTTCGAGAACTTCCAAAAGGATATGCAGGTTTCTTGCACCACGATCAACTGCTCCAGCTCATAGTACATGTACAGGACCAGACCGTGCTTGGGGTCGAGGGGATTCGGCAGTTGCGAAGAACCTTCGTTGAGGCGCACCAGTCCGCCTGGCGGAGTAGATAGAATGTCGTTCTCCCGGATAGGATGAATTGCGGTTCCCGCATTTTGCCGTAACCGGCGCTCACCCCCAAACTTCGAGCTTAACGGGGCAGGTTGTGGCGTCGGAGGGTAAACTAGAACAGGTTGGGCATAGGCTTGTCCTGCGGTTGATTCCCGTACAGCAGATTTGTGATCATCCGAAACATTTTTAGGTACGGTTCTGTGTAACTGAGTGGTGGCCGGAGAGGCAACTACATTGTGTCCAGGCTCCTTTTCTAGAGTAGCTGGTAGAGACTTGGTACGCAGTCGCTTAGTGCGTTTTACGGGTGTGATGGGAGCGTTCGCCGAAGTAGACGTGGGGCTCATGCTCGGTTTGAGGGCCTTGGTCTTGCGGGAAGTGATGGGCGGACCTTGCTGCTGCTGCAGGCGGTGCTGCTCGGGCAGGGTCTTTTCCGCCGGCTCTGGCCTCTTTAGGTTCGATCGCGCCGCCTTGGACATTAGCACCTTCTTGGGACTTTGCATGGTGCCGCCACACAACCGCTTTCCACGGCTCTGGCCCACCTCATCCGTAAGGGCGTAGCTCTTGAGAAGGCTGACCTTGCGGTTGCGCAACAGCTTGGAGTTCATGTGAGTAGTGGAACGAGTTACCAGGTCCCGGGCGCGAGGTTGTTTTGCCGCTACAGGAGCTGCAACAGTGGTGCGGCGTCGCTTGGGAACTCTCGGGGCCTCTTGTTTGGGTGCTCCATGTGTCTTTCTGTGCTTCGCTATTCTCACGGTCTTGGCGTTACTAGCAGTTGGTGAACTTGTCATTTGGGTTGGCTTCTCCGGACCTTCTTGCAAGAGTCTCAGCTTCTTCGATGGAGAAATTATCCCGGTGGGGTGCGGCGCAGAAACATCGCCAAAGGGTTCGATTAGGGGAGCCGGTGAAGTTGCGATACGAGAGGTTTGTGTTGGCGGCGGCGGCGGCGTATGCGTTTGTGAAGGTGCGTTATGGTTCGCCTGAACGATAAAGATGGATGGCTTGGTCTCGCGCGCCTGGCGCAAGCGCTGCTGCATTGCCTCGAGCACCTTGGATTGGGCAGGTGCCGCTGCTTCGTAAACTTTCGCAAAGGCTGCCTCCACAGATTTTGGTCGATGCCCCTCGAGCCTCTTTCGTTGCAGGTCTTGCATCATGGTGGAAAGGCCCGTGCTCTTCCATTTCAACTTATTTGGTTCCTTTTCATTGGTTTTTTGTACTTCTTCGATGGGTGGTTTGGACTTTTCTCTCAGCTCCTTCCTGGCATCCGAACCATCTCCCTGCACCTGATTTTGGTCCGGGAAGGGAACTTCTTTGGCTGGAAGGGCCGACTGTCGTGGTTCGCTTGGACCTCGAACTGATTCGAGACTAACATCTCCCTCGTTAGCTTGGTGCGGCGCATGGGAGGTTAAGTTTTCGTCCTTTTCGGGGCTCCCGTCGCTGCTTGTAGTCACTGGTGGCTTTTTGTCGTTTGCTTGTTGCCGATCCCGCTCCTTCTCGCGCCGTCTGCCACGCACATCGCTTCGCATCCTGTCCAGTTGCTGCTGGGGACGCACACGAAGCGAGCGACGAGCAATCGTGCTGTTGGCCAGCTCCCGCATCGCCGAGGCTACCGCGTTTGCCGTGGCCAACTCGGTGAGACCCAGGTAGTTGCAGAACTCTTGCTGCTCGTAAAACATGGCGTCATTAGGACTAGTGCACTGTGGTCCCCTGTTTAGATCCATCTGCATGGGCGTTGAAACGTCTTTCAAGTCTGTGGGTGAAAGGACTGCAATTAGCATTAATGTATTAGGCTTTACTTAAGTACTCTTACCGTCGCCTCCAGGCCCACTTGTCGGCTCCTGGTAGGAATACAACTGGTTCGGTTGCGTTTGCACATTTTGTCTCACAATTTGCTGTTGCGCTTGATGTCGCATAGCATCTATGACCCGGTCTGCCAGCTTTAGGTCACCTGCACCCACAAGGTCGCATGAGGTAGTATCCGTGGACGCTTGGATTCCTCTGGGGGTCGCTGAAGACTTGGGAACGGTAGCCACTAGTCCCGGAGTCGGTGGGGATGTACCTGCTGGTGTCTCAAGCGAGAACTGTTCAAGGTCTGTGGTGGATGTGTTTTTGGTGTATTGTCTCTCCGCTAACGTCTGCGTCTCAATGGTTTTTACGTCTCCGACAGGGTGAACCGGCAACTGCTCTTCCGTTTGATCCTTTTCCGGGACCAAAGTCGTCACAGAGGCATTATCCATATCAACTACCTCATAGCAGTCGTCCTCATCATCGTCCAGCACGATGGTCTCTTCAGTGGGTAGAACGTGCAAAAGGCGCCTTTGCACCACCCGGTCCTGTGGTGCTGGCTCATCGTCCGTCGACTCAAACGCTTCCATAATTTCGCGGGTAACTTTCTCCAGGTCGCGAGTTAGCATCTCTCGGAATTTAAGGAAGTTGTGTTGACGCTGCGGGGCTTTGAGTGCCTCGTGCTCCTCAAAGGCAGCCTGAAAACTTTCTACATCCTCGACGGGTGCGCACTCTTCAGCGACTGCCGTCTCCCAGCTAGAAACTTTCTCGCCAGGACTCATCTGAGGCTGCGCCTGACAGATACTGGCTAGCCTCCGGTCCATGGCCTCTGCGTATAGCGTGTTCTTCATCAGTTGAGGGCACTTTCGCTTCAAGGGCGCAACCTTCGATGGAACCTGCCCTTCCATCAGTTCGTCATCGTAGTCGTAGTTGTAACTGCCGTCCGGCATGGACGAAGAGCTGACTGGAAATTCTGTGGGGCTACTATGCTCGCGAGTCACCCGGCGAGCTGCTTGACTCTTTAGCGGATGTTCTTCCTCCAGCTCGTTGATCATAATGGACTGAACAGGGTGCTGCTCTTCAATGCCACAGTCTTCCTCCTCATCGTCATGGTCTTCCAGTTCATGATCATATACCTGACAGATGTCCGGACGTTCTTCTTCCATTGGCGTGTCGTCTACAAAGGTGGCGTTTTCGTTCTCCTCGTGCCCCTCATCCTCTACCATTTCCGGGTGTGCAAGTGGCTGCCTAAGAGCGGCGTCGCTGAGGTAGACATTGTTTCCGTCTGTCAGCCGTGCCACATCCTCTCCCAGGCCACCTATCACCTCCTCAATATACGTCCCATTAAGACGTTGATTCGCATTCCTTTCGTCGGGCAGCAGGCCCAGAAGCGTTTCACCTCCATTTCCGGCCATAAGGATGGCCCTAGCAAATTCCTGTTCGTTGGAAACTCCCTGCGTGGAGACGAGTATCTCGCAGCAATGTTCATCAGCTAGCATGACCATGTTCTCGCCGTCAACGGTTTCATAGATTACGCATGGTTCCTCAACAGGCTGCAGGTCATCATCATCCTCCTCATTCTCGTGGGGAACCAAAACGAATTGATCGTTTCCGTTGGTTAGCAACACACCAGGATTATGGCCGACGGCATGCAGCAAGGACATACCAGAGTTTCGAGGATCTTCGGGCAACTCTACAAAAAAATAAAAAATTCTTATTGGTTGGGGAGATATACAGGGATGGTGTTGGCTTGAAGGTGAACCCACCATTCATCTGGACGACATCGCGGCAGCCGTGCGAAAGTTTAGTTTGTGTACGGTCCCAGCTGGGGGTCGTCGTAGCCATTGCATCCTCATCTGATAATACGCGACGGCACAGTCCAAAGATAAAATGTGCGTTATCGGATATGTTGCTCCTATATGATGTGTTTTCGTCCCAGCCCTTGAACCCACTGCCACTGCCACTATCGAAGCCATCGCTTGAGATGAGACTGTGTATGTCCGAGTCGTCAGAGATCACGTGCAGCATGCTGTCCACTGCTGGATCCAGGTCCGTGTCATGATCACGGAATTGCAGGTTCTCGCAGGGCAAGCTACCATCAAAGTGTGCCTCCGCATTCCCAACGACTTCTCCAGCGTCCGCTTCAGGTACTGTTTCCGTTCCGGCGCCTTGATCGACAATGGCTTCCACCTCGTCTCCAGCCAACGGCGAGTAGATGTCCAGCAGTTGTTCCTCGGCCGAGACGTAGGCCACGAGCCGCGCTCCTCGCTTCGACATCGCGGTCACTCCGTTGTGGTTAAATGCTTAAAACGTACCGTGTAGCAATTGTGGACAAATTTTTACTGAATTTAGCACGTGAAATTTAAAAAATATACTTGATGCTGTCTACTAAACAGTGCCCGAACTGACAGTGCCGGTGCATGATTTCAATCTCAGGGTCTGGTCTGTTTCTCTCGATTCTAATGTTCTGTATTTTTGCGTATTTCTTGTTTTTTGTTGTGTATTACATTCCTATTTGGCAGCAAATATTTTTTTTGATTGGCCGAAAAATTTCAAGCCAAATATTATCGATAGTTTTAGTTATTTCGATAACAAACTCTTCGTAGCATTCGTCACCTACGTGGGCGGCCGCTCAAAATAAATAATAAATAATTTGAATTTTTGTTTCAAAAGAGTTAATAAATAAGGAACACGATCATCCTTATTTTATATTTTAACTTTAATTTTAAGGAAAAGATATTAACTATTATTTTACATATGTAGACATTTTTAAAAGTTAAAAAAAAAAACTTTCTGTATGGGTTTGTAGGATTTAAGGCACTTAAAATTAATATCATATATTTTTAATTTTTTTTTCATAATTTTTGAAATATTTATTAAAATAAATATGTATTTCGTTTTATAAAGTGTGGCCAAAGAATTACCAAACGACTTTCGAATAACTGGCAACTTAGCTGTTTTTTAGCCAAATCAGTATTTTTTTATTACCTTTGAGTGGAAAATAATATATGTATCTAAATGAAACCTGTTATTATGGAAAACAGGTTCTTGGTAAACAAAAAACACAATCAATTTCTAAATTAAAATTTTGGCTATTAGCTATAATTCGCTAATTATTATAATTTCTAGCTATTTTTCGCTATGTGGGTTGGCCTGGTAGTAGTGGGACCAAAGCGAGACGGAAAACAACGGTGCCCTCCACCACAACGGAGACCCAGCCCCAAGAGGTTTTTCGTGCGCCCGCGCTGATAAGGCTAGTCACCCAATGTGAACTCTCGGTTTTGAGCATGGAAACTAAGTAGCTCGGGAAATAAATATAGCGAGAGTCGTCGTTTTTGAGAACAAATTACACCCAGTGCTCGAAGTGTTAACGTCGTCGAGTATTCGCCTTGAAAAAAAATCAGAAATACAACGCTTTTCCTTACGTTGAAACATCGATGTGCGTACAGTGAACGCCGTTCTAAATTGGAAAATTCAATAAGTTAGCTATGGAGGACAAACGGGCCAACGGCGACAGCTGCGGCAACAACAACAGCAACAGCAATGACAACAACTCTTCTTGCAACGGTCAGCCAAAAAAGAAGGAAGTACGCGTCTGGTGCGACGGATGGTGAGTCACTTAACCGGGACTGGGACCAGCGTCGTATGCGGGATTCCGTGAAAGAGGGATTTACTATTTTAAGAAACCAGTTAAGGTAGGGCAGTAGAACAGGTAACGGTTCCATTGTGTTACATCACCCGCTCCAGAGGCCACAGGTTCCATAGATTCCGTAACCTAATCGGAGCGCGATAAATAACATTTTTTGGTGGACTGGCTAGATTTCAGGGTTTCCGCATTGATTAACGAATATGTGCCAAACCGTCATACATGCATATGGTATATGTAGTTATAGTACATACGTACGCGTATAGAAAATGTCGATTTCAGGTTCAAGGTCGGCTGGGGAAAATGGCAATGGTTTAACGCTTGACTGCAAGTGAAACAAAAGATTTCAGTTTCTTGTCTTGTCACCAATTTGTTCGAAAATAATGACACAAATTTAGAAATAATAAAAAACACCCCCTGCTTATTCACTGATTTGTAAAAATAAACAATCTCTAGTATTCGCCCCCTCTATACAGGCCAGTATGCACTGAAATCATAAAACCGGTTCAGTTTTATTAGAAATTAGTCATTTTATGGCGCCATGGATAATTGTCCTATCTCAACAAGTTTCGTTGCTTATAAATTGCAACAAAATGTCCATAGTTTTGTTTAGTTGTTTCTTTTTCTATCTCTTTGGCGTCTATATACATACATCCGTTTCCAATTTGAAAAGGCACACACCCAGTATACAAAAATAAAATCATCGTACGATTCTCTCTGTATATACCCCTATATTTGATGAATGACGTCCCCCCTGCCTATGCCGCTTTATAATTCTCCCTTCCTTTTGTGGATCAGAGCATTCTTTTCATTTCACGTGGCCTTGTTGGATGTACCAGTACGCCGGTAGTCCCTGAACATCACGTGATTTGGGTTTCGTCATGCCCCCCGCCTCTGGACCAATATGCTGGCCACGTCGGGTAGCTCTCTAAGCTGCCAGTTCGGCAAATACATATAGATATGTATGTATATTACATATATATATATATCCAATTGACATTTTTGCTTAAGCATTGAGGGGTCAGAGCATTCTGGCCGGTATGTTAATACAGCTGGAAACATTTAAATATCCCCACAGAATAAAACAGCAGTGTTTAAATAGTTGCACTTTATATATTTTTAGCCCTAGGGTCTATGTCCGGCGGAAAAATATATGGCTAAGGGCATGAAAAGGTTATAATCCTAGAGCTCTCTGTATGGTGTATTGTATTATTTTGAATATTAAATTGAAATTTTGAAAGTAAAGATTATACCCATATTATATTCAAAGATAAGAGAGCTTAAACCAACTCAAATTCCTTTCCACTTCCGGGTTATTAAAGGAATTTGACACGGTTAAAGTAGATTAAGCTTGTCCGAGTGTGTAGATCCATTCAGCTTGGAGCTGATAAGTAACCGGACAGTAGCATATTTGGCATTAAGTTATCAACAATGAAAATACGACATCAGCGAATCAGCCCCCTGGTAAAACCAAAATATAAACAAATAATATTTTTCGATGTTGCTGGGTAATCGGGAGAGTAACCCAGTGTCAAGCCACACATGTGCAAAATGGGCCAAAATGTGTTTAAATCAGCAAAGACTCATCATCTTTGACGCAAGCAAGTAAGATTGATTTTTTGATTTCCATGTGTACCTAACGATCTCAGTGGCTTGCCACTTTCTGGGAATGTCAATGAACTGGGGCTAGCTCGTAATATTACTGTAAGAGAGCTGGAACCTTTTTTATAGAGGTTCTACTAGTAGTAGGTCCCCATGAACCAAATCCACTTGATTTGCTTGCTGGCTTGGGGTTCGTAGTCAGAGAACAAATTCTACTGAGAATCGCGTGATATTTTTTAATCAGGAAAGTACGTCGGCATTGCTGTCGTTGCTTGTTGCTCATTCAATTGATTAAGCGGCCCCAGTGTCTGCGGGATTGTGGCCACATACTATATGTACATATGCTTGTTTACTTTTGTTTCCCCCCGATCGGCATAGATTTATTTCTGATTCAAAAATCTCCGGGAGCAAAGGTTTTGCTTCCATTAACAAATGGACCACGTTTTTACCAGATGCTACAGGCTTGTCTTTGGACAAATCGCCCAAAACATCCACTGATATTATACTGATGCCTATAATATAGAATATAATACAAGTTACAGTAACAGTGTTTACTTTTAATTATTTTGAGTGCAAAAAGGTAGTCATTACATCATGTGAAAGTAGACATACATAATGGGTATTAAATGGAATTTAAACGGCCTCTCACGTTGTCGGTCCCTTATCAAAACAAAAACATATAGACCACACGTGCCGTGCGTCTATGAATAATATTTGTATACGTAACAGGCAGGGAATTCTTGAAATTAGTAAGTTCAGGTGTAGCTCCCTTGGGGTACTACCCTTTCAGACTGGCGTGACTCTCTTTAAAATCTGCTTATGCAAATTGTGCCAAGTGACCAGCAAGTTTATTGCAGTATTACTAACCAGTATTGGCATCATCAAGCTTTCTTAATTACGTTGGGCTAACTGAAGTCGTTTAGTTACTTAACCCAGTTTTAAGGGACAACTTACCATAATTTCATCAAATGTTTGGAGTGTCATGATGGCTTTCCACTTTGGTTGCCACTTGTGGCTAACTTCTGTCATCATTATTGCCAACTTTTAGAAGACTCGTATCAAAATAATTATTAATTTTTGTCAGAATAACATTTCCGCTTCCAAGAAACTGGTTCCGCCTTATCTAACAACAGGTTTCCCTTTCCTCTACAGCTATGATATGGTGCACTTCGGACACGCCAACTCCCTGCGACAAGCCAAAGCTCTTGGCGATAAAGTGATTGTTGGCATACACACCGACGAGGAGATCGCCAAGCACAAGGGACCTCCGGTCTTCACTGAGGAGGAGCGCGTCAAGATGGTAAAGGGCATCAAATGGGTTGACGAAGTGGTCCTTGGCGCCCCCTATGTTACTACCCTGGAGGTCCTTGACCAACACAACTGTGATTTCTGTGTTCATGGAGGTAAGTTATCCAAAGGATGGCTAAAAGCCCAACAGACATTAATTGTTTTACTTTATTTTAGATGATATTACCATGACTGCCGAGGGAGTAGATACATACCATCTGGTTAAGTCAGCTAACCGCTATAGGTAAGTCATAACACACTTTATTCGATTTTGGGGATAATTTCAAACCTTTATCTCTGTTTTTCAGGGAAGTCCGCCGCACGGCAGGAGTCTCTACAACAGATCTTGTGGGTCGCATGTTGCTTCTCACCCGCAATCACTTCCGTCAGGGATCCGCGGAATACGATATAGAGAAAGAAGGTAGTATTTCATTGTTGAATGTCGAGTGTGGTTTTATGTTTTTCTGTTTAATTTTAATTCTCTCACATAGCACTATATCCGTGTTGTGCAAAGATGCCATTATACTCTCATTTTTAACAATTACTAACAACGTTAAGCTACATATATTTTCGTATCACCTCTATTCGGAATTATATTTCTTTCAAATTCTTTTTATATTTCTGCATGCTGCGCATAAACAATCGTTGAAATCAGTTCTAAGTAAGGACATAATATCATGTCTGTTAGTGATTTGATTCAATGCCCACCTATATTGCGCATAGTAGTTAACATTTAACATATTTTCAATTGTTGACCCTGACTAATTCTTTGCTTTATTTTGCTCTACATCTTTACTCTTTCTCTTTTTATTTCTATGTACGCACTGTTTGCCACTAACAAAAAAAATAATACAAATCTTTATGAACCCTCTGAATAATTCTGAAAATGTCCTGTGCGTGTGCGCGCCGCGAAATGAATTCAAAATGCCAAATGCCCAATGACCAAACCGCTATCAAAATATCAATATATCAAAATATCCAAATCAAAATCGAAATCCAATCCTAAACGTAAATTACGCTACTTAATTAATACACGCTGCATTTGTCTGTTGCTTTTACAATACAAAAAAATTACAAAACAGTGAACATTTTAAAACATCAAATAAAATTCCGTTCAGGTTCATCCAACATGGGTCAAGATTCGGCTGCCAAAAGTCCATGGACGGGTTGCAGTCAATTCTTGCCCACCACCCAAAAGATCATACAGTTTAGTGATGGAAAGTCCCCGAATCCAGGCGATAAGATCGTAAGTTTTTCCTAATACTTGGATTTATTTCAAAAGTCGAATTATTTTTATTATTATTAGGTTTATGTTGCTGGCGCCTTTGATCTGTTCCATGTTGGACACTTGGATTTCTTGGAAAAAGCCAAGAAACTGGGGGACTATCTAATCGTTGGGTTACACACAGATCCCGTGGTCAACTCTTACAAGGGCAGTAACTACCCAATTATGAATCTTCACGAACGCGTTCTCAGTGTTTTAGCGTGCAAGGTACGTACATAGCTCTTATTATATACCTAAACCGAACTTATCATTATATTTTATGTACAGTTTGTTAACGAAGTTGTGATTGGTGCGCCTTATTGCGTGACTGAGGAACTCCTAGAACATTTCAAAATTGATGTGGTGTGCCACGGACGCACCCCGATCTCGCTAGAGGACGGAAAGAGTGATCCATATGCCCTGCCAAAAACCCGAGCGATCTTTGAGCTGATCGATTCTGGCAACGAAATGACAACGGAGCGTATTGTTGAACGCATTATCTCTCACCGCCTGGAATACGAGCGCCGCAACCAAGCCAAAGAAAAGAAGGAAATCGAGGCATTCGAGGCTCTGCAAAAGCAGAAGCTCACACAGAAAGCAGGGTAGTCGACACCAGATTCCGGCCATTCACACTAGGCGATTGTTTTACTCGATGTGTTTAGTTTAATTTTTTTAGTTTGTTTCGTTTAGTTGTCGCCTCGTGTGCACACTATCCCAGTTTTTAAAAAATTCCCATTGTTATTGTGTGATGTTAAAAGTGATGCGCCGCTCCCAAAAATCGCCAAAAACCAAATGAGATATGGAGAGCAATCAACACAACAGCGGAACCCTCTCTTGTTTTCTAGTACAATTTTTGAATAGCTGCGGGTCGCACATGCGGCTTTTCCAAAGCCTTGATGATATGAAGTTACCATATACGCAAACGTATATATATATATATATTTGTAATACCTTTATTTAGCCTATTTAATGTCAAAATTTTATGTAAGCTCAAAATTGTAAATCACTCTGCCAGTCTCGTTATTGAAAATGTAACTTTCTAAATTATATGAAATATAACTAAGGTGTATATCAAAGTAAAACAGTGCAGTTGCCCAAATTTGTAATTTGCTGATTGTAAATACGAAATGGAAGCGCAATTATGAAGCCTGGATTAGCAGGAAGCTGCTAAGTTAAACGTAATCTCCGATACTTTGTTCTTATTATTTATAAATTCATATGTATGTTTCAATGTTTAGCTTATAGATTCAAAAATACAGAGCCAAAAATATTCAAAATGCTGTTGTCTTTATTGGTGTTTTTAAAACTTTTCCTCGCCTAGCACCTTCAGCTCCACCATTAGCATCTGCTGCCACACATCCAAGTCCATAACCTCCCGTAGATCATCAAAACTGATGAGGATGACATTACTGTCGGTTTTTATAAATTCCTTGCAAGACAGACTATCTTGATGTATGGGACGTGCCTTTAATTCCTTGGAGTAGTAGCGGGAAGATTTGGCCGCTTGGACTGTTAGGCGTAACGAGATGGTCGCCTTTTGCAGAGGAGTGCTGACCCAGATGGCCAGGACATCGTTCTTTGTCTTCTGTTTTTGCCACAACATTGAGTGTTGGGTGCGACAGGCAAAGACCATAAGGGCATCGTGCTGCGAATAATGGCGGTACCTTGCTGGTAGGTGAGTATTGCGTTGGCACTTGAGGGGGTTCAGGCCATGCCGACGATATACAAATACTCCCAGCAATGTGTTAATATCGCTCTCGAGGCTGCTAAAGTGGCAGCTTAGGGACACACGTTTGTTGATCCTGACCTCTTCAAGGGGAATCCCAGAACTCGGCATATGATCGTTCAAATAGTGACCTAGCAGGGCAGATATATGCAGAGAACAGCGACATCCGCTGCATGGGCAGGGCACCAGATTCAGTCTGTCCCAAGGCGAGGGGCTGGGCGAGACTACAAAGAGCGGACTTCTTCCTGCACGTTCGCTGGGCGCAGCCGTAAAGGATTGGAAGCTGTCCAGCCGTAGAATCTGTTCATCGGAATGCGAGGCCACAGCTACAGCCATGGGCAACCGATAGTTGGAGAAGTGCTGGGTGTACAGCGAATGATGTACGTTCTGCTGGTTTTGCTTTCTTCTCTCCCGGCGCTTTTGATTCCGGCTCATTGGATTCGGTGGCAGATATGGAGACTTGGACGATGATGGGGAATCTCTTCCATTGTTGGAATCGGGAAGAACAGAAGATAGCATATTTTATGGCGGGAAAGGTTCTTGGATTAGTTGTTATGGACTGACATAATTTTGTTTATTGAATAATTTTAGAAATGGATGTGAGAGAATAGAAATGATGAAAAGATGTATGAATTTGTTTAATGAAGTGATGAAGTGACAGTTAAATAACTATATACATAGTTAATATTATAAAGAACTTTTTCTTTTATTTTAAATTTTTAAACAGATATTGACTTTAGTCGGAATATTATGTTTTAATTCATTTCTTTTATAACGACGAACCCATTTAAACATATAATTCTATTTTATTCATTGCACATAATCATTTTAATGATAACAAATTTTTTCATTATTTTCTCATTCGAACAATACATAGGCTAAACAATTTTTATGTAATTTAAATGGCTTATTTAGTACAGAGACTACAAATCAGAATAGTGTATTGGAACTATTCGGCTTTTACTTTGGTGAGTTGATGGGGCCCAGCCAAGGCTGGGGATTGACATACAAGTGGGAGATAGTGCCACGAAGCGAGTCCATTCCTTGATTGAGGGGCACTGGTTTCGGCTTCTCGTTCACATTGCACATCCACTTTTGCCATGCCACCTCAGCCATTTGCTTGCGGCGCTCTTCCTCCAGCGCCTTAAACATCATATCCTGCCTCTTTGCCTCACGCTGGGCCTTTTGCTGCTGCTGTTTCTTTATCCACCAGCCCTCTACCACCTTTCGAATCTCTTCTTGGGACACGTTCCGTGTTGGCTTACTGACCTTTGTGGGCGCCACCTTTGACGAAGTTCCTCCTTCGAAGGGAGAATCGATCGGACTCTTGGATAGTGCCATGCTGGCTTGCATAGCTGCCGTTCGAAGGTGTTTCTCTAGGCGTTGATTTTCTGCCAAACGAGCTTTGTCCTTTAGCCACTGGTCGTAGCACATCTGGGCCAGCTGCTTACGTTCTTTCACCCGCTGCTGGTCATAGTCCCGCTCCCGTTTCAAGCGCTGAATCTGTTTTTGGCGCTGCCTCTGCTTGGCGGAGTACCAGTTCTCATAGGCAGCATCATGTTCACGGTGACCCTGAAGAATCCGAATAGGACATATATCTTAGATCTTAGTTAATACAAATGCCTAATGCTATTGGGTCTTACCTTCAAGCTATTCACGTGTTGCAAATAATTCCGGGAGCTCGGCTGAGAACTGAAGTGTAGTGAGGGAACCAAGTCACTTTGGCTCTCAGGCGACTTAAATCCTTCGTACGTGACTGACCAACTGTCCGTAGAGAGGGGCGATGACTTTCCCGAATCGGCAACAAAAAACTTGGAACCGAACTTTTCTTCCTTAACCAAATCCTTCTGCGATGCATTGCTTTGGGGTGATGGTTTAGGTGAAAACACTGCGGTGGGTGATCCGCAGAAAGATGTGGATCGACGGTTGAGCGTTTTCCCGCTATATATTTCATCACGAATTAGTTGTCCTGATACGCTTACGTGTCCAGAGAAGGCCATTTTTCACAAATTCAAAATCTCCAGAAATGTGCCTCTTTAAATGTGAAAATGAACTAACTTCTAGACCCGATTAATGGAATGACAAGAATTTTTTGGGTTTTTATTGTTTTCGAACCGATCTGACAGGACTTGGACTTGTAAATGATTAAAAGTTCATGTGTAATATTGAGTTTGTTTTCCGCAATTGCTGAGTTTCTCCTGGGTTTAAGTTTTCTCAAATACAATCCACAGTCAGGGACTGAAAAATCTTAAAATATTATTTAAAGGTTATACAGGTTCATTGAAGCTTTGGAGGGTCTTTCCGTTGAGACATATTTATAAAACTATTGAATAGACTATCGATAACATAGTGAATACAGGTGGCGTACAACTAAAAGCTCTCCGATTTAAATGATGCCCCAACAAAATTGTTTTGATCTGAAAAACAAGCATACTTTAATCCTTAGAACTATGTAGAGTTTTGCTTTATTAATACTGCCAAATGGAAGTCAGTTCCACCAGATGGTGTGTGAGCTAAGCTCGGACGGCGTGAGTCCTGGAGAAGCATAATCAGAAACATTGTCTTTCAAACGAACGTGGTTTCACCAGGTTTGTGGCTCTGTAGTCAGGATTTCCTCAGTTCGGTTGCAGACGCAAGACAAGGCAGAACGATATAACAACATTGGCTCCTTAATACTTAAATTCTTGCCACCATCTATGTCACTCCTCGGGAACAGTGCAGCCAGTGGCGGATTTAACAGGTGGGCAAAGGCGCGCTTGCCCACGGGGCCCCCCCGGTGAAAGTGAAAATTACACTTTCGATTTCTTTTCCACAAATCTGCATCAAAATCTACGACCAAAATATTTTAAAGCTTTTTTGTCAAATTTTCTGGGCTGTCCCCTTCAAAAAAAAATAAGGGGGGCCCCATATAACCCCCTGCGAAGGCCATATCTTGGGAAATATGCACCGATCTTGAACGGAATACCTTAAACGATTTGTGGATCGATTCTCCATAAATCTGCATCAAAATCTGGGAATAAAATATTTTAAGATTTTTTTGTCAAATTTTCTGGGCTGTCCTCTTCAAAATGTACAAAATGCATGGGGAGCCCCATATGATCCACTGCGAAGGCCATATCTTAGGAAATATTCGTCCGATTCTTGAATGAAATACCTTAAACGATTTGTGGATCGATTCTTCATAAATCTGCATCAAAATCTGGAAACAAAATATTTTTAAGATTTTTTGTCAAATTTTCTGGGCTGTCCCCTTCAAAATGTGCAAAATGCATGGGGAGCCCCATATGATCCACTGCGAAGGCCATATCTTAGGAAATATTCATCCGATTCTTGAACGGAATACCTTAAACGATTTGTGGATTGATTCTCCATAAATCTGCATCAAAATCTGAGAATAAAATATTTTAAAGATTTCTTGTCAAATTTTCTGGGCTGTCCCCTCCAAAATGTGCAAAATGCATGGGGAGCCCCATATGACCCACTGCGAAGGCCATATCTTAGGAAATATTCATCCGATTCTTGAACGGAATGCCTTAAACGATTTGTGGATCGATTCTTCATAAATCTGCATCAAAATCCGGAAACAAAATATTTTTAAGATTTGATTTTCTGGGCTGTCCCCCCCCAAATTCTTAGGAAATATTTATCCGATTCTTGAACGGAATACCTTAAACGATTTGTGGATCGATTCTTCATAAATCTGCATCAAAATCCGGAAACAAAATATTTTTAAGATTTTTTGTCAAATTTTCTAGTCCCCTTCAAAATGTGCAAAATGCATTTGGAGCCCCATATGACCCATCGAAGGCCATATCTTAGGAAATATTCATCCGATTCTTGAACGGAATACCTTAAACGATTTGTGGATTGATTCTCCATAAATCTGCATCAAAATCTGAGAATAAAATATTTTAAAGATTTTTTGTCAAATTTTCTGGGCTGTCCCTTTCAAAATGTGCAAAATGCATGGGGAGCCCCATATGACCCACTGCGAAGGCCATATCTTAGGAAATATTCATTCGATTCTTGAACGGAATACCTTAAACGATTTGTGGATCGATTCTTCATAAATCTGCATCAAAATCCGGAAACAAAATATTTTTAAGATTTTTTGTCAAATTTTCTAGGCTGTCCCCTTCAAAATGTGCAAAATGCATGGGGAGCCCCATATGATCCACTGCGAAGGCCATATCTTAGGAAATATTCATCCGATTCTTGAACGGAATACCTTAAACGATTTGTGGATTGATTCTCCATAAATCTGCATCAAAATCTGAGAACAAAATATTTTTAAGATTTCTTGTCAAATTTTCTGGGCTGTCCCTTCCAAAATGTGCAAAAATCTGCATCAAAATATTTTAAGATTTTGAAATCGTCCCCTTCAAAATGGCAAAGAGCCCATAGACCATGCGAAGGCCATATCTTAGGAAATATTCATCCGATTCTTGAACGGAATACCTTAAACGATTTGTGGATCGATTCTCCATAAATCTGCATCAAAATCTGGGAACAAAATATTTTTAAGATTTTTTGTCAAATTTTCTGGGCTGTCCCCTTCAAAATAAAAAATATTTGGAACCCCATATGACCCCCTGCGAAGGCCATATCTTAGAAATATTCATCCGATTCTTGAACGGAATACCTTAAACGATTTATGGATCGATTCTTCATAAATCTGCATCAAAATCTGGGAACAAAATATTTTTAAGATTGTTTGTCAAATTTTCTGTGCTGTACACTTCAAAATACCCTTCAATGAACCCTGAAAAAATTTTGCCCACTGGGCCTTTTTCCTTAAATCCGCCACTGAGTGCAGCAGTCCAGCTCACCTGAAATACCAGAATCCTTTAGCAGGAAAGTGGCTGGGAAGAGATGGTCGCCAATATCCGGAGAAATTCTACATTACGGTTCGAATAACTTGACAGATCTCTTCATCGAAAACTGGGTTCCAATAAATGAATTGTTGTATGGGGTCGTAACATCGGCCGTCGTGTGAGAGGATTTATAGTTCGAGTTGCAGCCATCCTTTTAAGTGGACATTCTCCAAGAGTTTAATTAAGTCTTTCTCCACGAAATCCCCAATATCCTCCAGACGGCTATATTTTACTACTAACAGTATATGATAATTAACTTAATAAAAACACTACGAACTTTTTTGTTTATTTGGAATTACTTAATTCCATATCAACATAATATTTTTATTGAATTCAGTAAAATTTTTCAAGTATTTCATTTTTTATTACTCATACACGATTTTCGTTTAAGTTTCTTTAATGTTTTATGTAACCTTTTCTTGTTATTTTCATCTTCGTAAATTTATATACTTGTGAGTTCATTTTAATATTACAGCTTATGTTTTATTTCATTTTTTTTGTATTTTTTTTTTCTGTTTTTTATATTTTATAGTTTAACTTAAATCATAAAAAAAGCAGTGTTTTGGTTTTTATATTCTAGATACACCATTTTTTTTTTGGTTTACGATGATATTTTCTAAATTAAAGCAATATTTAAGGTTCTTTGGAATTGAATTTTTAAACACAATAAATTTGTTGTTCTTAATTTTTGCAGATGCAAGTTGTGTTTTGGTTTTTTTTTATTAAGTTACTATTTATTAGAGCTTGCAATTTTTTCTTCTAAATACATTATTTAAAACTGAAGTTATTAAGCTGCTCCAAAGTTCCCCTGTATCGTGGGTGTTTGTTTTTTATATTTTTTTCTTGTGTGAGGGTGATCAACTAAAATCTAAATTTTATGCACTTAAATGTAATTTACTTTGTTTCTGTTCTATTAATTATAACATATTGCATACATTTCCATGTATATATGTCATTATGTTATAGTTGCCTTAGATTTTTAAGACTTATTTTAAATACATTTGTATCTCTTAGTTTTCTATTTAATATTTTCCTATTGCCGCTAATTTTGCCATTTATTTTCATTTGTTTCATTGGTAAATGTTGAAACAAAAATCCAATTAAATTAAAATCAACATATTACATCAAATACTTTTAAATTTGACAAAATTATTCGACTTCGCCATAGTGTCACTTGTTTCTGAGGGAGATCCAATGAACTAAAGACCACAAATACATGACCCAAGAATGTAATGGTCTTTCATAAGAAAATTAAATAGATTAGAAGCTGGTCCAAGTCAAGACGGAAATCAATATTTAATTTCCAAATTTGTCCGACAAGTCTGACAAGAAATTGTTCAAAGGGTGTTTTTGAAATATTTATTGACGTCACTGTTGGGTTTACACACAAAACGGTTAAATGTTTTATGTTTGTCTTACCTTTTGGTTTTTTTATTTTTACGTACACTTTGTGTAAAAAATGGCAGTTTTTATACATGCTTGTTAAATATAATTCATTTTAATTATGTGCTAGTTGTTGCCGCCTAAAGATGAGTAAGAATCTATAGTGATTTCTATTATTAAGATCTGTCTGGCAACCGCAAATCGGCATGGTAAATCTGAATAAAAAAAATTAAATTTTGGAATTTAAAGGTTTAACAGTTTACGGCAGTTTTATCATATCTTTTGTGTTAATTTATTTTGTTTTGAGTTATTTTAAGTTTTTTTGTTTGTTTTTTTTGTTTTACCCCAGATAACCCATTAATATTATCGGCGGTTTTGGGAACACTTTGCCGGGGGAGTAACATATAATATAAAAAATGACTTGCAACTATAAAATCATTATATTCTGATGAAAATTATAAAGGCCTTGGGAACCAGAGTGTTTGAAAATAAATTTAATTTATTTTCTGCCAGCGATTGCCTGTATTTGTATGAAACATCCTATTTTAAAGATCTCCCTTCAGTAATTTGTTATTTTCTTGTGACAAAATATGCTGCAGGCAATTAATTAGACTACTTAACTAATTATATTTTCTTCATTTTTAGTTATCTTGCTTAGCCATAGAAAACATTAAACAATTTTTCATAGCTTCGATTTTCGTAACAAAATATGTTTGAAATACTTTCCAATTATATGGGTATTTGAGGCAATAAGGAAACAATTTTATTTTTCAACAAAATTTTTAAAAAACTATTTAGTAAAATAATCCTAAAGTTTTCTCTGATTTAATTAGAGGCCCCATTATCTATTTTTGTAATTTTCTTAAGCCGTGGAAATTTACATCTAAACTTCATTTCATGAAAGTATGCTGTATTACTTTTTATGGTAATATATTTTAATATTCATTTAACCATTTTCATTTATCTATTTCTTATTAAATTTATTATTTTAGTTTTATTATTCAAGTATTTTGTTATTTTATTCTGACAAAACTTTCAAACTGTATAACATTAATTTATTTTCTTCATTCTGCTAGTCTCTTACATATTACGCTATATAAGTGGATGGAAAAAAGGGGTTAATTATTAGGCATTGGTTTTCCTAATTAAGAACTATTGTAAGGATTTTTTATTTAGGTAAATTAAAAAGCTTGATTTTAGAATTGGTATATTACTAAACAGTGCCTGCTATGCTTAGTATCGAGTCTGCAGTTTGTATCTGTAAGTGAAAATAATCGTAATCGTATCCACTAAGATTCGCTGCCACTTTGTGTTTGAAGAGATAGTAAATAAATGGCATGTGAAAGACGGGGGGCCGGGTCCCCCTATAAGTAGTATCCTTGGTCTTCCTCTGAATTGGGTTAGCTGCAAAACATAGTATGATATGGAAACGGATTTTGTGTTTTATTTATTTGAATTATTTCAATTTATTATTTTTAGGGCTTGTGGTTGTGTGAACATAATATTTTCGTTTCGAATGCTTATCATTTTTATTGTAACCAGTTACTCCGTGCTTCAATTTCATTCTTGAACAGCAGTTTATTCAATCATTTTCATCTGTTTACTTGTTTCAGGTTTATCCCATTGAAATCGGAGTTGCTCTTTAAATTTTCAAGATTTTAAATTTTTTCCATTTCTGTGTTTTTTTTTTAAATATTCTTGTTTATTAACTATTTTTGTTGCAATTTCTGTTTTTATTTGATTTTGTTAAGTATTGAATATAAATTGGGCTTTCTTAATAAGTATTTCATATTTTTTTTGTTTTTTTTTTTATTTTGGGAAAACATGCTTACATATGCAACAAAAAAATAAACTATAGGTAGAAAACAATACTCGGTTGGTATATTTTGTTGTCGTGTGTTTTCCAATTTTACAATTAATAAGTGTATTAAATTTTTATTAACTAAAACAATAGTTTTACACAATTTTAATTTGTATTTTGTTTTTTTTTTTAACTTGAGTACAGTTTCAATGTTTAATTCGCTGCTTTTGTCGTTTATTTGTTTTTCTTGATTCTTGCCCGAAAACAATTTTCAAAAAGCAAAATAAAACTTTTTTTTACCGTCTTTTATACTGGCCACATCGTATCTTGGGAATTTTTGGCAGTGTTTGCCATATGTAACCTGAAGATATGGGATGTTATAAATGTTAAACGACTCTCCCAGTTCGACCTCGGAGAAGGAATTATTTTCATCAAACTAGCAGTGGAGTGAAGAATAACTTTCATTTATAAATAAAAAAGTACTTTCGTGTAATTTTAATTTTACTTAAAGTTCTTGTGGCTTTCGCAATGCACCTGCGATTCTTTGTTGTGCTGCTTAGGCAATAAAATGCGGCAAAGGAATCCAAAATAATGTATTTTTCAGGCGTCGATGTAAATACAACTTTTGTAACGTTCATTGGTTACAATCGCATTTATTATGCGTTAGAATATTCCGCCATGATGTGGCTAGTCTAAAAACGGTATTAACAACGGTTATATATATTTTTTTGTCATTTTTTTTTTAATTTTTCTGATTATACATATTTTGCTCTAATATTCGTGGACTGCCAATATTATTTAAACTTTTTTTTGCCTAAATGGTAAACTAAATAAAATGTTTCTAAAAAATTTAGTTTTTTTTAAGATTCCGTGTGGGGCGTTCTGTTGGTAGCGTTGGGTAGGTTCTTATATATTTTTCTTTATTTGCATTAAAGCGCTAGATTTTTTTAATAATCCTTTTTCTTGTAGCTTGTTCTTTTTTTTTAGTTCTGTCTTTGGTTGCTGCTGTATCTTGAATGCAATTTTTCTTGCAATAAACCCGTTGTTTATGCTTGTGGCTACACTTTGCTTATGTTTGTTGTTTTCTTTCTAATTTTCTTCACTTTCTCCCACTCCACCTGTTTCACATTGCTTCCTCGATTTCAGCTGCTCTGATACTGTCGCATGCTGTTGTCCTCTCGGCTGCGTATTGTTTAACGTGTTTCTTAATCAACCATCAACTCGAAGTGGACGGATCCTCTCCTATCCGAGCGGTCGTGGTTAATGTTGCGGGCCCAGGCTTTGCACTCGATGTTTATTAAAACGCCGGCTAAAAAAAAATAAAAGAATAAAGAAATTTGATTTAGTACTTTTATTGAACATACATACGTATAAGAAGTTATCTATCTATCTAAAATGCCTATCTGTCTATTTAAATAGCGGTTACCCCTTACACTAGACATCGAAATATCAACCCATCAGCAAAGCATTATCTATACCAATACATTGCTGATAAATTTATAAAGTGGGTTGAATGCTGAAAAAAGTCTAGGGACTAGAACCGTTCTACTTAATAAAAACAATTCAAATTAACTATTTTTTTATGGAGCTATCATTTACTTTTTGTTGAGTTTTACCTGCAGGGACATAATTACCCATCAAATGGGCATGTTATGTGTCATTTTAGGATTTAACTGAGCATAAGATTGCATTTAACTAGTTATAATACAATAAAGCCAAAACCAAAGAGGTCAAAAAGAGTTGTCCTCTTTTGTTTTGAAAAGAAGTCTGGGTTGAATGGCTTATGAGGTTAGGATGCTATCACAAACTAGAATAATATGCTAAGTAGGGGAATTATGACGTAATTGCCGCTCAAATAAAAGGAAAGGAAAAAAAAGGAACACAATGAAAATATATGTCAGGATACTTACTTTCAACAGTAAATTGCACAGCGACAATTGGTGGAATGTATCCCTGGATGTTTTGGAACGGAAAATAGTAACGTGGGAAACCCATACGTGGGTAATAATCACGGGCCTTGATGTTTTCAACATCGGCGGGATTTTCACCCTCGCACGATACCCAAACGACATTGGTCTGAAAATGGAGTGTCCTAAGAAACTTATTTTTAATTTCAATATTAATTCATACCTCATTGGGCCGCAGACTTTGTTTTTCCTTGATGTGCTGCTTCAGTTCTTCAGGCATATCGTTTGGCAAAGTTTTAGAATCGTTATAAATTTCTGGTACCCAATTGTAAATCTAAAAGGTTTGAGTTGCATTTTTATAATAGATATTATTATTTCCTTTTTTCCATGAATTTTCATAATATACATACCTTATTTAACTTTAGGAATATGCAGGGCCTGGCCACATGGTAACCAAAATTCTTGTCGAATGTACACGGAGCGAAACTGGCAACATCAATGCCACAAACTTTGCCGTCTGGTGGAGGATGTTCGAAGCTGCAGTTTACTTGATTCTGTTTCTCAAGATCCTCGTAAGCTATAAGTTTGACATAAAATTATTAATAAATGGGCATTTATTGTGTTTTATTAGCCAAAGAAATATTAGCAAAGTTCTGGGAGACTCGGAGTAAGCAATACAATTTTCGAAGTATAGTTGCTTAACACAAACAAACTTACTGTGATCTTTTTATAAAAGGTTTCCAAAAATCATATTATTGAAAAAAATTAATTTTAATAATTATTCAAACAAATAAATAAACACAAGCTTCGGTGACCGAGGCTTCAAAAATCAAATTGGTCATCATACAAAAAAAATTGTCACATTTTAAATTTGGTAAACGGAAAAATATCTTCAAGTTTATACACAATATCTAAATTATGTTAAATTAATCATAAAAAAAATCATAAAAAAAATATGTATTGGTGATTCATACTTACATTTCAGGAAACGAGCAGTTTCATCAACCCAGTACTTATAATTATCCTCTTTTGATGATTCATACCAAACTAATGTGCTCTCAACATTTGCCTCTGGTGGCATGGGTCGGAAACCAAGACCTGTATTCATAAAATGAGGTAAAATTTGGTTCAATAAAATTTGTTTTTTTGTTTAAATTTAACATTTTTATAACTTTGTAGTAGTTTAATTTATTAAAATGGCTTTTTTAAAAGAATTTCGTTTATTTGTATTCGTTTTAAAGTCCGTTACGATAAATCATCGTTTCAAGTCCTTAGCGGTTAATGAAATATGTATGTGTATACCAACCTGGGTTGGATCCAATCAATCCGTTGTCAAGCATCCACTTGGGCTTTTCATTGTCCAATGTTGTGTAAAATACAGTAAATATGGCAGCAAAGAATCCAGTTAACGCCGCATAAAATATTATATAGAACAGGAGGATTTTCGCTAAAAGGATAGTTAAGATAAAATATATTTAGTTTTTATTGAAGAAATAACTGACTAACATTAATGTATATTTTTGTTATTAAGTAATATTTATGGTTAGTATAGTTTAAAGGGAAAATATATAATTTGAATTGTAGGTAGTAAGATTTCGGAAACAAGATTTTTTTTAACAAATTTATTGCGCAACAGATAATACCCAGCAAATAGATTTATTTGTTTGGCCTTTAAATTAAGATCACACTTTGGTCGTTTGAGCTTTTAATTATACTTTGATGTGGGAAAATCGCTCTGAGATCTTTGGATAACGTGTATCGTGGGAAATAGTTTTATTAATAATTTCCTTTATGTGAATGTTCTGCCTAGCGGATTCTCTTGTTTTAGAAAACCAAATATTGTTTTATTAAGAACATCATGATTTATTCATCACAAATATTTTTCTAAGTGTACTGGAAGGATTTGGTTAAATTGACTTTTATGATAAAGATTATCATGAATACCATATACACCTAATATTTGTATTCGGATTTTTTTTAATTCTAGTATTTTATATTAAAAATAGAAATAATGTTTTTTAATTTTTGGAAGTTAATGAAATTAAATTAAAATCTTAAAAGCTAAAGGAGAAGCTTTATAGTGCGATTGCGCAGTGCTAAGCTTGCTCATAAGAGCTTTCGCAACTTCTGGTATATAGCTGCATCCATATAATTTCTATATTTTTATGCTGGATACGGTAGATTTTTCCTTACCAATATTAGTATGGTAAACTATAATGTTTTTATAATCAGAGCTTGTATTTTATAAAGAAGTAATTTTTTAGTAAAAGAATTACTAAGCCCACAAACTAAAGATTGAAATTGAAGTTCTTGATGTAAAGAAGATTATTCTCAATTACTTTATTCCAAGATTCCATTTCAATTAGGTAACTGATTACTTGTAGATCGTTTTGGTATTTAATCGTTTCGTAATTTGTCATCAAATTTAATTTTTCCTGTTTCTAATACTTAGTTGACTTTATATTGAAATCCTATTCAATTGAATTAAATATGAAAACATTTTTGGGTGTTTTAATGTGTAACTATATACACTTCCGATTCTGAAGCAACATGAAACTGTTACGTATATGCTAGACCCTGCGCACAATTTCAGCTTTTAGCTCTCGCTCCTTGTCTCCTTTGAACTTTGACATTTGCACAGAAGTGCATTTTTTTACCAGCATATTTTTTTCAGGCGATGTATCAAATTATGCTCGCGACTGCATCTACAAAGTATTCCACAAGGAAAAAGTAAACAAAACGGGTATTTTGTTGGTATTCTTGCATTAAAATTAGTTATTAGGTGAAGTAAAGTATTCATAAATAATGAAATCAGAATGTTAAGAGACATTTTTGGCTTACATCCGGTGACCATATTGAAATATCTCTACTTCCTGATGTTCCTCCAAATATGGCGACACGCCATTTTTTTGGTTAAATACAGAACTTCCACAAACACCCACCAGATGGCGCATTTCAACGTGTTCAAACTGTGAACGCTGTTGGTTGTTTTTCTAAATTCAATGTTTTCAGCATAAAATTCGAACTAATTCTCAACTCGGAGAAAACAAACAATGCTTATGGATTGAAGACCCAAAAATACAAAGCTTAAACTACTTTTTCTTTTGCGTTAAAACAATACATCGATTGTCACTTTTAAAGCCTAATTGGTTTCTAATAAATAGAATTTTATTCTATTGAAAGAATATATGGGTCTTTATAAAAAAGGACAACCCATGCGGCCCCAAATCAAAGACCAATATAAGAAAAATTAAATATATTTTAATTTGATCGAGGGAAAAAAGGCTTTGAGACGTCGCGGCGATCTCGATGAAATTTCAAATGTAAATTTGTTTGATTTGAGACTCAGCTATAGAGCTCAGAAAAGTTATAAAAAGAAGTTATAAAAAGTTATATCTTTACACCATTTTTCTTCCCGCTTATGCAATTTTCTATGACTCTGTTGTTAATTATGGCGATAAAAAACTGAAACTTATTAGCGAAATTTAAACTATTGTTATGCCCTACACTCTCCGGATAGGTTTCGTGAACCAGTGCAAATTGGTTCGTTTTCGATGCCCATATAATTGTATGGCTTGTAGCCTTGTCCTGCTTGATTGTTGTTCAACAAATTGATGTCAATAATAGAGTGCCATACGTATGTACATTTAAGAAATTTATAAATGCGGCAATTGAGAAATTTGCTGAGATTTTGTTAAAAACAAAGAATGAAACTCAAGCCGCTTATTAAACAAATAAATTTCTCAAATAAATTTGTTGAACCAAAGTTTAATTATGGTATTAAATACAGTTTATATATAATAAATAATAATATAACTAAGCTAAAATTGAAGAGTACTCTTTTTATATAATAGAAAAATTGTAACCCAATATGAGAAAAAAAATGATTTCAACGGGGTAATTGTTTGGCTAAAAACTCATCCCAAGAGTTGTTTTCTAAGTAGGCTAACGATAAAAAGAAACTAGAGAACAGCCAACCGCCTTTTTAAGCCCTAACTAAGCTTTTAGCCGTGGTGACAGTTCAAATTGGGGCCGAAATCGATTTTCTACGATTATAATCAATGGTATAGCAGAGATCGCATGCAAATGCCTATGCACATATGCATGTAGTCACGACTTTTTCACAACTTTTTTTTTTTGCAAAAGAAGGAAATTGGGTTAAAAGTAAACAAGACTAAATCTTTGGGAAGTATACACCTTTAATATGTGATGGTTGTCCACTTGATTAAAAAGGTAAAAACAAAACAAATTACTTTTTAATTCTTTGTTCTGACGTCTGTGGGAGGATTGATATGATTAGTCATGTATACTCATGCCAATAAAAAACGACAAATGTGATTGCTAATATAGACAACGGAAAAGGTGCACAATTATGCAATCAGAAGACTGGAGACCTTAAAATAGTTGAGACTTTGTTGGTATTAGGTCAGTACGATAGAGAGTGTGTCAAGTAAGCCAAAAGTACATAAGATTGTTTTCTAAATTAAAAATAACTTTTATCAAATATAAATAAATAGAAAATACTCACCCCAACTGGAACCGGTGCGTCCAAGGCATTGGCTAGTTTCACTGTTCCATAGGAATTTTTTGAAACCCTCCCACTTGCCCATTTTTGGCGGGGGCGCATAATATTCACCAATTTTTTTGTCGGCCATTATTATATTGTTGTTTTTTGTTTTTGTTTTTCACTTGAATTGTAGGAAGGTGTTTGCCTATAAAGCTAGTCCTTTTAAACTATTGTTATTTGTTGTTGGTATCTTAAAGTTTAATTTAATGTTTTAAACTCTTATTAAATATGAATATAATATATATATTTGATGCTTTTATATGTATTTATTATTGGTGTTAATTTTATTTGTGAGATTTCTTAATCAACTGCGTTGGTACATCATTTTCGGTTTATTATGGAATGTTCGAAGCAGTATTTTGTTAAAATTTTCGTTATACTCTTTCTTTACTGAAATAGGAAATAATTGATCGATTAGACACAAGAAAACCTAGATTAAACCTAGATTAGTAATAAAAATGTTGAAAATTATGCTAATGCACTTTTTGTTGTATAAAGTTATTCGAGAGTCTTTTTCAGGGATTTCTTTGCAAACCCAATAAGCATTACACTTTTTTTTATTTATGTAAGAACTCTTTTTACGTGTGTCAGAATGTAAATGATTTTTTCCAGATTCTGGGCCTTTTCAATAAAGCAATTAGATTTGTCCTTAATTTAACATTTTCTTCAGAACACTTATTGCATAAAGTAATGGGTTTTAATTACATTTTCCTTGATTTGGGCCGCCACTAGGCGGAGTTGTAAGAACAATTGAGGGTTACCTTTGCCTTCGTATCTGGCGGATGTGAAATTTTGGTTTTTCGATATTATTTATCCGCAATTTTAATGAATTTCTGCTCAAGATATTTTTTAAGAAAATAAGTTTCAGCCACCACTGCCTATTTTATCCACACACTCTGCCAACTGTTATGTAATATTAAGCATGGAAAAAAACCTCGAAAAGCCAATCCAAGCAAATAGGCGCAGGCGCACTGGCCAAGAGAGTGCCGAGAGCCAAAGGAATTTGAAGAGAATGATACTGGAACCTTTGCCTGGAAGGACAACTTTTCCTTTAGTTTTGGTGCAGCAGAGCTTTTGCAGGACTCGAACCGAATTCATTTGGCTGACAGCTGGGCGCCAGCCTAATGACTGACTCCTTCGAGATTAGCCGAAGGGGAGTTGTTCGGTGAATGGATGAATGGAACTATCTGATGACCGGACTTGTCAGATATGAAAACCCCCAAGAAACCATTTGGAATTTTTAATTTCTTTGAATTTTGAAGGAGTTATTATAAGTAGGTGATGAATGTGCAGTAGCAACAGATCTGGGGTGAGGCAAGGTCAGGAGCTAGAAAATGCAGTAACGAAAAACTTACTTTGTGATATAACAGGAGGCTATCACAGATATGTTCGTTAACTTTCGGGCTTGCAATATTCTATTTTAAGATCCTACCTTTTCATTTTGATTTCTTTTAACCCACATAAGGATTGCGGTAGCCTGACGTTTTTTTTTTATTCTGTAACTTGTGACGCGGCTGCCGACTGAGCTGCCCTTTTGCGGCACTCATTGCGCAACGCGCCCCGACTGGCATCGGTTCTATTCCGGCGCCTTTGGTCGTTGGGCGTGGGAAGTGACGAAAACAAGGAGGTGGTTGGGGGGTGGAAGTCGTTGGGTAGAAAAGGGCATGGCGCACAAATGTAGGCAACGCAGACCCCATAGCACAACACCTTAAGAAACTTTTCATTTTCTATCAAAAATATGATTTTAGCTCAAAGATAGATTTTAGATTTTTCTCTAAGCAATAAATTTGAAGGAAAATGTATAATAGTGACATAAAAAATCATTTAAAGTTATTTTTACACTCTTTTCTTTTTTAACCATTTTTAAACTATTCAATTGCACTTGAGTAATATTTCTATTTATTTATTGATTTGCTTGGATTGAGGATTCTAGCTTGGTTTGGTTTATTCTTGTTGGTGTGACAGAAAAATCGAAATTCTGTATGTATGTATATAGGTTTTACAAGGATATCTTTGCTTCTGGCACAATGTCCTTGTCTCAAATGTCACTTTTATTTTCTCTATCGTATGGACGTAATCAGAATAAAATATCACTCCTGTTCTATTAATATTCATAAATTTGTTACGTTATCGTTCACTTTGAAGAATTTGTTGTTTCATTCAGTTTTGACTAACACACAACTTTAGGTTTCATTTTTTTTTCATTATTGATTGGTGAATTTTTATGTAATCAGCGATTCGGAGAAGTATGCAAGGAATCTTTGGATGATTTTCCGACTACACACATACAGAATGAGTTTTCTTTGGCTTTTGAACGTCTTTTCTCTACGCAGATTTGTACATATAGTCTCTAAAAATATATGCAGCGAATGTATATACATCTATATAGAATATATGTATATAAATGTATTTCTATGTGCCGTTAATCCGCCAACGAATGCGAGTACCAACCGTCCACTGTTAAAACGCCAATGATAGTGCCAGTTCATCGCAAATTGCAGCTGGGAATCGCTAGCTTTCGGGTCTCGACTCTGGCTTCGGCTTCGGTTCACATCGGCCCCTGGGTTACGTCCACGAGATAACGGCACAGAGGGGTGGTAGACATGGGGCTTGGGGCGTGTGGCGTGAAGCGTTGGGAGCCGGGTGGTTGGCAGCTTTGCTTGGAATACACCACCGCGTCTGAGCTTTTTCCGCGCGCCGCTAAATTTTCTACTCAAATAGGTTCTGTGGCATTGGAATAAAAAGACGGTGGCGGTATTTTTCTTTTTTTTTATAACGCACTCCGCTCTTTAGGGATTGAGACTGAAGAGCTTTCAGCTACATTTTCTGCTGCGTTATGCAGTGCCTCCAAACCTTGTGGCATTCAAACTTAAAAATATAAGTATTTTAATATTGAATCAGAGAGATAGGCACTGTAGTTTTGGCTAAAAATAAATTCTTAAATTCTAAATGTATTCAAGACATTAATACGCTGCTAGAGGGTATTGTATTTATTTTAGGGAGTCAGTAACGCCCTATAGAAGAAATGTCCTGAAAATAAAAATGTTTTCTTGGATGATATAATGACATATAATCTGCATATCTCATATAATGCATAGACTTTCTTTAAGATTAAAAGGTTGAAGATATTAAAAAAGTTATAAGTCTAATTTCCTCGACAGCTTTTATGTGTATTTTGTTTCTGTGTACTTCTGACCTTTATGTAGCTCACTGTCGTTATTCGTTATTTTTAGGCAATTAAAATGTCAGAATCCACATCCTTAATCAGAGCCTAAGCAAATCAATCTGGCCCAAAGAAATCTAAGCAAGTCAAAAATAGCGGAGCAACCTTTCAGCGGCAAATAGTCGGATGCGGCGAATCTGAGTTCGTCCTGCGCAGTAAAATGATTTGTTAGCTTTGAAAAAAGGAAGAGACTTGTCCTTGCAATAGAACCCTTATTGATTATTTTCATTGTACCAAGGAGTTGGGCTACAACAACTTATCAAAATGGTAATTTAAGCCAAGAAAACCAGCAATTAAAATATACATATACTTGTCAAAAGGAAATATATAAGAACATAAGTAGGGGAAGCTGGAGCTTTTTTTTCTCTTTGAAACTTTGTCCAGCCCCTGCGGCAAGGACTCAGCTGATTTTCGGTTACACAACAAATATTACAGATGTAATAAAATAACGCCGGAATTAAGTCATCGGTAACAGAAAAAAACCCCTTTTTAAAGAATATGTTATTTAAAACTTCAATCAAAATTAGTTCGGAACTATACGACTCTTTTAAGTGAAAATCACACATAAATTAGCTTTGTTACTAAACAATCTTTGATAAAATAGAAATCTAGTTTATTTATAAGGCATACATAATATTACATTATTGAGTAGATAACTAAATGCTTTGCAAAATATCAAGTCTTTTCTTGAAGGGTCATGGTAATCTCAGATTCAAACAGTGCCCTTTAGTATTCTATAGTAACACACTTCGTCTTCAGATAATCATTGAGGGCCTCCTGACCCAAGTCCTTGCCATATCCGCTCTGCTTGAAGCCTCCAAAGGGAGCAGCCACATCGGTCTTGTTGTACACATTGATGAACACAGTTCCGGCTTCGATGCGATCGGCAAAGCTGAGGGCTTTGTTGATGTCCTGTGTGAAGACCCCACTGGCCAGGCCGTACTCAGTGCGGTTGGCACGCTGCATCACAGAATCCACGTCGCTGCCATTAAACTTTGAGATTATCATGATGGGACCGAAGGATTCCTCCTGGGCAATGAACATGTCATCCGACACGTTTGTGAATACCGTGGGTGTGAAAAAGTATCCCTTGAGATTCGCAACACGGCCACCGCCGTACACCAGAGTGGCTCCCTCGGCCACGCCCCGTTGACAGAACTCCAGGAGCTTGTCGAAGTGGGCCTTATGGTTCTGGGGTCCGTGGGCAGTGGAGCGGTTGAGGGGATCCCCAATGGTCATCGAACGCAAGTCCTTGACCACTCGTCGAACAAACTCATCGTGAATGCGATCTTCCACGAACAGGCGTCCGGCGGCGATACAGTTCTCCCCCTTATTGAAGAATACCGATGACATGCCCTGGGGGGATATAGTCAAGTCAGTTTTAACACCTTTAAATATTAAGATATATTTTCACTTACATGCTTGACTGCCTTGTCCAGATCACAGTCGGCGAAGATTATCAGCGGGCTCTTACCGCCCAGCTCCAGAGAACACTTCTTGAGATTGGAATCCGCGCAGGACTTCATAATGTGCTTGCCGACAGGCGTGGATCCGGTGAAGCCCAGTTTGCGTACAAGCTGATGATCGGCCACTGCCTGACCAGCTTCGGATCCCTTGCCAGGCAGGACATTAATGACTCCTGGAGGGAATCCGGCTCGGACTGTTAGCTCGGCGAATTTAAGGGCAGTCAGAGGGCAAGTCTGGGCGGGCTTAATGAGACATGTGTTTCCTGCAGCTATACAGGCGGCCATCTTCCAGGAAAGCATCATTAAAGGGTAGTTCCATGGTGTTACTAGACCACAAACTCCGATGGGTTCTTTGCGAGTGAAGGTTAGGACATTGTTGGGTCTGGCTGGGTTTACGGGGATCGTATTTCCCTGGATCTTGTCGCACCAGCCGGCAAAGTACCGCCAGGCATCTATGGACATGCCGATGTGGGTCTTAAGGGCTAGAGTGTACACTGCTCCAGAGTCCACCGATTCAATTGTGGCCAGTTCCTCCTTGTGCTTCTCCATTAAGTCGGCCAGGTTGAGCATTAGTTGGCCACGTTGCCTGGGCGAGATTTGCTTCCATGATCCATAGAAGGCACTGTGAGCAGCCTGCACCGCTTTGTCGACATCGTTGGCCGAGGCACAAGCCACCTGGCAGAGTACCACCTCATCGGTGGGGTTCACAATGGGCAGGGTGGCACGCTTCTCGGCGTCCACGAATTCACCGTTGATGAACAGCTGGGTTGGCACTCGGATCTGCCGCTTATTGGCTTTCAGAGTGAACCCTTCGTAGGCCAACTGCTGACCATCTCCACCGCCACTTCCCTGGCGTAGAGTCCTTACCAGCAGGTCAAAGAACTCCTCAAACACAGGGGCCATAAAGACCTGTTCGTTCTCTAGAGGCACATCGAAGGCATCCTTCACCTCCTCCACCAAACGTACCACATCCATGGATCCAGCGCCGGCTGCAAAGAAATCCGTCGATGGCTCGATTTGTTGCTTGATGATGGCCTGCCAGATTCCTGTCAGTTGCACCTTCTTGGCCAACTCATCCTCAGTAAAATCGGTGATAGGTTGCTGTTGGCCTTGTTGGAACCACTGGCTGGCATTGATGACCTTAGAGCCGCGCTTTACACGGCGGACGTTGACGAAGGCTCCGTCGGTACCCTCGATGAGAAGCCCGGCACTGTGGATCCATGCCGGCTTGTTGAGTCCCTTAAGGCGCAGGGCCTGGCCTCCGGAAACCGGACCGGCGGAGTAGAGATGAGCTCCAAAAAGACGAATCTCCTCTTCGGTGCCGTCCGCTTGAATCACCGTGACTATGGCCCCGGGCACTGAGTCCAGGCCTCGCACAAAGTTCCAAATGCGCTCGGCAGACTGTTGGAGATTGAGGACCTGGTTCTCCGCCTTGAACATGGCCGGATCGTAGGTAGCACCCACCTCGGTCTGTGTTATTTTGGGAGCAGTTCCACTGGCAACCATATCGACAGCCACTCCCATGGCTTTGACGCCCTCGGGGTAAAGGAAACGTTTGTATATGGTGTCCAGGGTGTCCGTGGGCTCCAGGTTGGTCTGACGGGTGAGCAGAAGCGGTCCCGTGTCCAGGCCGTCGTCGGCCCAGAAAATGCTGAATCCGGCCACTTCGTCGCCCTCGATTAGTGTCCAGGAAATTGCGCTGGCTCCGCGATGGCGCGGCAAAATGGACGGATGATAGCAGATACTTCCCAAAGGCGCTCCATCGATAACCTCCATGGGAATAAACTGGGAGCAGTAGGGCAGTACATTCAGAGTAGCTCCTACTGTTTTGTATTGCTCCAACACCTCCGGCAGGGTCACTCCTTTGCGACGCCAACTGGCGAACTTGAAAACAGGGATCTTATGAGCAGTTGCTGTGGTTGCCAGTATGTCCTCTCGACTGCCTTTGTCCGGGATTGTGAAGACACCGACAATTTCGATGTTCGAGCGCTCCAAAAGAAGCTCCAAGACGTCTGCCGCAAAGTTACTTTGGCCAATAATGGCAATCCGCAGTTTTAGCTGAAAATTATACAATTGTTAGCAAATAGATTTTTTTTATTTTTTACTGGCACAATTTTAAAACATTTAGAATTAATATAATTTTTCGCACAATACTAACAGCCATGTTAATAGACACTTTAGCACTTCCGTAAAAAACACTTTCAAGTTAACTTTTCCTAATCTCCAACGAGCAGTTCTAATCCAAGCAATTCTGGTAATAAACTTTTGCTTTTAATGTACTTGGCGAGTACTTCCAGAGTCGGCCAACTATCAACTGAAACTGAGTGAACAAACCAAATCGTATTTATACCCTTGGCCGGCACACACAAGTACGTTATCAGCAGATGATTAACAAAAAAATACAACAAATTTTCAATGCATGTTGTTGCCTCACTTCGCATATATTTCATAATTAAATCATTCAGAACTAGATTTCTTATCTGACCCAGGGGTATACATAGCTGCAACTTATTCTGCACGCAACAAAAATCGTACGCGTGTCTATTTTGCATGATCAGAGGGCAGACTTTCTTTATTCTTTTTAATGTTCTAAAGAATTCTGAAGGTTTCCCAAATGGCTCAACAGTTGGGAAAGTAGACGGAATGTAAGCTGAGACCCAGTGACTTACTGAGGGGGGTTCACCTGAATTGCTGACTTTCAGTGTCTGAGTGGGGTTTTCATTTTCATCGCTAGCAACACGTGTTTTCATTATAAAATAATCTAATACCTCGGTGACCTATTGATTAACTTCACTGCAAACAAATTTTTTTGGAATGTTAAGGATTTACTTCGGAGAATATTACGTATTATTATAATAAATATGGACCTATTTACAATCTATAATTATTTTTATAAGTATGATTATGATATTCATATAAAAACCTAAAAATAAAAAAAAAATATAATTTTTTTGCTTAGGGTAACTCTTATATTCCGATATCGACAACGAATTAAGCGAAAATTAAATGCTCTGATCAATCAACTAGTTGTTGCCCTAGAAACCAATTAAAAAATAGGTACTAACCAAGAAGTACTACTCATTTTTCTATTAAAACCAGAAAGCCATTTATATTAGTTTGTTAGAACCACCACAGAATGTTGTACGCCTTGCAGCCAAAACTAAAATACTTTGCTTTTCTGGGGCTTGTACCTTGGTCTGATAGTTGTCAGTTTCTACAAATGGCATACTCAATCGTTTTAATACTATTTCATGTGGGTATTTTTGGATATGGCATTTACATCGAAGAAAGGGAAACCCTTTTTCTCTCAGTGCTGGTCAATGTGACTGTTTTTGTAGCCAAGATTGCGTGCGCCATCATAGTACTAGTACAGATGATAGTGCATCATAATGACTACTACAGATTTTGTTTCGAAATGACGAGCATAGAACTGCGACTTCAAAATGAACTTAAAATATCTGGCAAGAGATTTCGATTTTCAAGCTTTAATAAGATCGTGGGACTTGCATTGGTCTCTACGTTGTCCTTTGTTCCATCCATATGTGTGTCACTTCTACTAAACCTCGAGTACTTCTGGTCCTCACTCACGTCTATGATAATCACAAGAGGACAGTTTGTACTTTTGATGCTTTACGTTGATTTGATGAGTGAGATCGTGTGTATCGTGGAAAATCGCTTGCAGACCATTCTCAACTGTCACATGATAAGTGGAAATTGCATCCTGGATGGAAACTGCAAGGTACTCTGTTCTCTAGAGTACCTTTTGTCCCTCAAGCAGAGCTACATGGAATTGCATAGCCTATTCATCTATTTTAGCCATCTTTTTGGCTGGTCTATTCTCAGCATTTATGTGGTCATGTTCTTGGACAGTACTGTGGATATATACTGGACCCAACAAGTTCTAGCCGGGCTTTACGATAACACATTTCTCTATTCTACATGCACCGGTTTCTTTCCCGCAATTGTTTTCATTTTGACTTTTTGTCGATGTGGTGAACAGTGCAGAAAACAGGTAAAAATCTATTATGATTTTTTTTAATTGGGTTTAATACATTTTCAATATTAGAACCTGCTAATTGGTTGCCACGTCCGGGGCCTCACCTGCAACATCCAGACCTTGGGAGAACCTGCCTACATCGATGTGCTCTCGGAATTTGTGATGCAAGTGGAGCATAATGCATTGGAAATCAATGTTGAGGGATTCATGATCATAGATAACTCTCTTCTGATGTCGGTTGGTATATTTTTAATTTTATATTTCTTTAAATATGTTTTCTTTTATGATATTTTCAGATATTAGCAGCTATGGTCACCTATCTGATAGTTTTAATGCAATTTAGTTCTTTATAGAATGGCTTTTATTCTTAGAACTTGATTATGTAATTAGGGAATATAATTCCAAATTAAATACCCAAATGTTTGGCCCACTTAATTTTTTATTATAGTTTTCAAACCGACATAATTAGATAAGATAAGAACTTCTATAAAAATCATTTTATCGTACAATCCAAATTTGGAAAAGTTATCATATCTTATCAGAAACCTTGAATTAACCAAAATAATTTTATTATCAACATCCGCATATAGTATAAAGAAAAATTTTTAATTCAAAAAATGCAACATCTAAAACAAATTTTAGTCATCAGGTGTTTAGTTTAGCTTGACATTCATTGGTGGGGGGTACAAAATAATAATGATAAGACTGGGAATTCATCTATTTTTTTTTGAAATTATACATTTAATGCAGTAAACAATTTTGAACATGTGATCAACAGCTGCTAGATGGTGAAATTTTGGGGCCCGTCTATAAAAAGGTACAAACAACTATAAGATCGGTTTGAATATGGAATACCACTGACCGGCTAATCTTACTAGGCGTAATCAGTGGCAGCTTAGTGATAACCTGGTCGATTGCCCTGCGCCAAGTACGAGCAATAAGAAACAAAGCGAACCGGTTTTTCTGTTCCTCTATAAAGTTCCGATCCAGTTTAAGGTGGTTCAAGATGTGCCAATTTCGATAGACTGCCGGGCCAAACGGTATAACCGAAGTCCGCCTAATCGCTTTTCAAGTGTTTTTTACTTTTTATTAATTTCCATAGACTGATCGTTTCTTAACTGGTTCGTGGCGGATTCAAATCTCATAGCTTATCTCTTATAGGTGATTAGGAAAATGAATAATATTATTATTTTTTTTTTAATTTTTGGAATGTTCATCAACTTGGCATTAACTAGCAACTATAAACGTATTTAAAATCTTTTAAAAGTAACTTGAGCACTAACTCCGATCTCCTTCATCACAATATCACCATCGTCGTCCAGGATCTCCAAGTTGCACTCGATTTCTTGAGTTTTTATAGATTCCTCGTAAATTGGATCGTCTTCTGTTGTGTTTTCTTCTGGTGCTTCGAAATAGTCTATTATTAAAGGTTTTTTGGCGTTTGATTCAATATTGGTGTTTTGTGATCCAGATGTTAATGGGGCATCTGTTTTATCTTGGCTTGTATTGCCAATAATTTCCTGCTGAGTAGACTCTTTTGGTGTTTTATCCTCTTTAATAGTTTCCTCTGGAATGGGGTTTTCAATTTCTATAATATTTTCCTCTGAAACTGGTTTTGTATCCTCTATAATATCATTCTCTGAAATTGTTCGCTTTTCATCCTCCCCAGCCATTCCATTCTGATCCTGCTCACTTAGTTCTTCTATGATTTCCAATTTAAAGTCTTCTTCATCACCATCCTCATCACTTTCACCAAACTCCTGCTTATCCAGCCTTGCTAAGTCCTCGGGATCAAGAAATTTGTGCAATGTTTTCGATAACATGGCCCATTTGGCCTTTGCGGCTTCAGACGCTTTACGTCTTTCCAACTCTGCGGAAGATATCTTTGGTTCGATTTCCGATTGCAAGGCATTCCCTTCAACCTCATCCAAGGTTGGCCCTTTGGGAGACACCTGCATATTCTTCTCGAGAAGACAGCACAAGTTTCTACGCGTGGCTTCTTCGCGTTCTTGAACCATTTTCAAGTCGGCCTTGAATTCTTCGGAGTAAAATGATTTTAAAACTGATTCTGGAAGATTTGGAGGCTCTACCACGGCTATTTCTTCCCCAGATTCATAATCGGTTGGGGCATCAGACTGAACGTCGTCGTCAATGTCATTGTTGTGATGGGGCTTAGGCTTAGGTTCCTCGGCTAAGCGGTCGCCGTTTTCCTCGTCGAAAATTGTATTTTTTGTATTAACTAGAGTTTCTTCCTTTAGTTCGTTAAATGTCTTATCCTTATCCTCAGGCTCTTCTTCCTCCGTAAGATCAACTTGGCTCTTTTGTTCGAAAATCTTAGATCGACCGACGGACAGGTTCATGGGTCCCAGCTCAGTCGATGCATCCTGAACTGAAGGGGCTGGCGGTATTAACATAAGTTGGCGTTCTCGTTCCTCGTACTCCTTCATGCGAATCATCATTTTCTTCAACAATTCATCTTCCTCCTCTACTTTTGGATCTACCGGCTTTGTCTTGGACACGTCGGCATCATCTTTGGTTAGAATTGTCTGAAGCATTTGGTTTTCTTCGTTGGTGAATTGGACCTCCCGCGATCCAGACTTCATACAGGCCTTTAGTTCGTTGTAGCTTCTCATGCATTCTATAGCGGCTTCAGCCTCTTCATTGTTTTGGATTTTCTCGAGATCTAGCTTCTGGAAGAATTCAGTGTCCAGATTGCCGAAGGTAGTCATAGCTTCAAGAGAATAGAACTCTGGCTCTGGCTCTGGCTCCGGTTCGTTCTCCTTTTCTTCGCCGGCATATTCTTCGGACTGTGGATCCAGACCAGCCCGTTGAAGGGCCTCCAAAATCAAATGCTCCTCCGACTTCCTTGGCTTGGGTTGATAGGGGGTTGTCCAAGGACGTTTCAGAAACGCTCCCCCATGATCCTCCGATTTATCCTCATCGGCAGTGTCATAGCTATCAGACTCCGAGTCACTAATCAATGGGGGTGGTGGGGGCAATTCCTCCAACTCCCCAGTATCCTTCTTTACAACCATTAACCGGTTGTCGACCACCTCTAAGGTGTCATCATACTTGTCGCGTTGAGCAAAGCACCTCGCCGCAGAGTTGGCGACATGGCGCTTGAGTTTCTCGTTCTCCTTATTTATTCGAGCATCCAAATTTTCAGCCGTGTCCTTGTTAAACTCCTCAAGATTTTTTGACTTCAGCAGCTCTTGAGCGGCACGGATTTTGTCCACTCCTGATGATGGGTTACGCCCCAGTAAAGATGTAGTTCCAGGCTCAACCATCGAGTTGACAAAATCAGAGAACGTATCGAGGCATTCACGGATACTCTTACCACCGGCCGGATTTTCAAGTGCTGGGGGTACCAGTTTCTCCAACTTCGGTTCTGCCGAATAGCTGAACTCCTCATCGGACTCAATCGGTCCGAACTCGAAGTTCTTGGGCTTGGGCTTCTCGTCAATCAACTCCTCAATAATTTCGTCCAACACCGAAGTACAAATACCTTTCAAGTCGGAATCTTCTATGGTGACTTCCTCGTGGTACTCCACCGTTGTTTCAATATTGTACATTTCATTATTTTTGTCCTCCAACTCTTGCAAGAGCTTACGTAGCTCCTCCTCTTCTGCTGCCATCTTCTTGTTCATCTCTTCGCACATCTTTTCAGCGGCTTCCATGCTTGTCATATTTGTGATGGGCTTCCTGAAAATATTATCATTATCTTTGGGATTCTTTAGTTCTTTTCTAGGGAGTTGGAGTTGTAGCTCCTCCTTTGACCAATCCTTTGCTGGGATATCCAGTCCAGCACCAAAAACTCGCGTAGGAACATTATCTGTACTGTTGTCCAAGATTTTGGCAAACAACTGCTCTCTCTCAGATGCCTCGGTTTCAAGTTTGGACTCCATTCTTTCCTTCAGTTGCTTTCGACATTCATTCATTTTATCGGTAAGGAGTGGCGACTTGGCCTCCAAATGAACCTTCAAAGCCTCTTCGTCTGTCTCGCTGTCAGACTGGCCCAATGGATCGTCCATCAAACCGCACAAAGATTCTGAAGCCTTTCTAAGTTCCTCTAGATCCTCCTCCATGTGCATACCCATTTCCTCCAAGTCGTGCGAGCACTTTTCATTGGTCATTGCACTGTCTTCCTCATAGTCCATTTGCTCCCTGGTTTTCACGGTAGTAAACAAACTGATTTCTTCAGGTTCCTTGTCAACACATTCATTTTCATTATTGGGACTTGCTTCCTCCATTTCAAATTCTCTTAGTGGGTCCTGATGTTCGGTACCCAATAGTTCCTCAATAGGGGCGCCTGAACTATGAGCCAATTCAGCTTTAGAACAAGAAAGCAGCATTTCCTCGACAAGCCTGGTTCTTGTTTCCTTAGAGGATGCCTCGTTCTTGTTTTCTTTTTCTATGTTTTCACCCAATGTCTTGATGGCTGTATATGATTTCATTAAATCTTCAACATCCTGTTCAGAATCGCTGTTTGAAGCTTTTTCATTATCATCCGTATTCTCTACAAGTTCGCCGCTGGTACCCTCTTCAGGTTGCTCTTTGACATCGTCATTTTTAATTCCCTCATCAACTTTTTTCTCAGAATCGAAGTCTTCTAGTTTTCCCTCCGTTATCATAATTCGCTTTCCCTTGGAAGTGTCCTCTTGTGGGTCCTCTAACTGTTTGATATCATTATTTTCAGTGTTCTCCTGCTGCACCTTATCTTCCTCTTTTTTGATAATATCTGTATCACTGTATTGGGTATCATACAGGACCTTGGGGCGGCCCTCGAGGGGTTTGCGATTACTTATTTGCTCAGCTATATGGTCGGCATGGGAGCCCACGCTTTCATTATCCTCAGCCGAACTGGAGCTGCTATTATTCTTCGAGGATGGCGGTCCCGACACCTCGTCCCACAAGTCGTCCACAGTGTTATTTTCCAGTTCACACTTTTTACGACAATCTTCTGCGGACATTAGGGCTTTTTGCTCCTCTTCAGAATCACTGGACCTAAGTAAAGGATCTTGCTGATCAGCTGGTTTGTGCTTATTACGCATACGGATAGTGCCTAAAAAGATTGGGGTTTTATCTAATTTTTATCATAATCGTGATTTTTAAATCTTACTGTTTACACTGTCGCGTATTTTTCGATGCTCAGCCCTGTTCCAGCGACGGTTTTCCTTACGTTCTCCTTCATAGCCCTCCCGTTTCCTAAGGAAATATTTTTTATTAATTTACTAACTTTGATAAATGGTTATTTATAATAAAAATATATTATACACAAAACTGTGAAAGTTTTCATTTTGTTTATAACTTATTCAAAGAATTCTTACCAGGCCTCGGCACAAGCACGATCACGAGCAAATACAGGACGACTATCCAAGTATGTAAGTTCTTTCTAAGGTAGAAAGTAGTTATTATAGACCTTTTAAATATTTAGTTAAAGTTTCAATAACTTACACATGCCAGAATTAGTGTTTTACGATACTGTGGAAGTCGGGATACTACTGGATTTCCCTGCAAAACTAGGACTTTTAGATTGGGCATCTGCTCAAATATCTTTACAATAAGTATATCATCAATTCTGTTGTTCGATAAATCCAAAACAGATAAGGTTTTGCATTGAACCAAATCTGAAAGGCTTTCGGCATCTTTTAGGTAGTTGGATGCTATATTAAGTGTATTCAATACTGGTAGTATGTCGGTTCCAATATTCTCTATTTTGCGAATATGGTTGGAGCTTAGATTAATCGTATCAAGCTGAGGACAGGTCCCCAAATTTTCAATTTTTGTAATAAGATTGTTTTGAAGGAACAGACACTTTAGTTTGTTGAGTTTCTCTAGTCCTTGGATCTCAGAAATGGCATTACATTCGAGCCAAAGGCACTTCAGCTCTGTATACTCCTCCAAGCACTCGATGGATTGATACCCTAAAACGGATTCTATATAAATATACTTTTTTTTTTATTAAAAAGCTGCTAATATTTACCCTGGTAATGCAAGTAAAGTACGTCGTTTAGTCGAGGAGTCTGGTAAAGTTTGTCCCTCTTGCATAGCTCTTTTAGGCCCTTGCTGGTCATACGATTCAGCCCCATTACTTCTCGGCGGCCAGCCACCGTTCCGGATCCTTGCGACATTGTTTTTATTCAGTACACACTAAAATTGTATATTTTGAATGTCAATTGCTTATTTTGTTGAGAAAGAAAGACTAGTTGACGTAGTTGCAGAATAGCCAACTTCTGTTCTTTCCAGAAATGTTATTTACTTTCAATGAACAATCGAATAGATTTTGTTACATTGGTTGTTAATGGCAACAGCTATTATTGGTATCCAGGTAATATCATATACGTGTATATTGAACCTCACTAAGAATGGATGTTTTTTACCCAAATACCATAAATTGAAAAAAAAATAGGAAAAAAGCAACAAATTTTTGTGGTGCTTCACAAAGCTTTTATTTAAGGTTACTCGTACATACAAATACATATTTAAAATTCATAAAGTTACTAATAATATTTTCAAGTTTTTCTTTTAGTTGTAGACAATTACAAATACAATGATCGTCCATTATAAAAGCCTCAAGATTCATATGTTGTGTTTTAAAAATGCTTTGTATAATGCAGTTCAATCTAAATGTTTTAAATTCGATTTGAAGCCGATTTATTGTGTGTTTTAAAAATGTTTAAATTTACATTTAATTGGTGCACCTACGGGTGATAATTAATACTATAAGGCATAAACAATTTATAAGGAAGTTTCTGGGCATTGGGTTCTTGTTTTTGCACCTCGAAACTTTTACAGTAGACACTATTCAGCATTTATTTTTTACTTTAAATCTGCAACACAAAGCAAGAAATAAAATTCTAGAATTTTGATTCTATTTTGAACATAAAATAATTAGTAAATGGAAAAAATCAATAGCAGAAACAAAACAAAGCCAGATCACAGCTTTTCGAGTATAAGATTTCCAAAATATGTTCCAATAATTTTTAGGTTCCCCTTCAAGAGGCCAAGTCCTTCAGTCAAATAAGCGAGATTCTTTGTAAAAAGTTATTTTTTAAATTGATATTTTGCAGATGTTTTAACAGACGGATATGTAAATATGCAGTTTTCTTTAGAATAGTCTACACTAAAACAAAATACACTCATGAAAACAAGGTGGGATTTTTCATATGATGAAAATGAATGGGTTTTTCAGTGGTGCACCCCATCTACGTGAATTTTTGTAACATACATGTATAGTTATATATAATCATATAAATAAATAATAAAAATTCAATAGGGATGTGATAATAGTTGAGGTGATAAAATAAATTGGCATTTTCTGGTGAGAATTTAAGTGGGTATGTTCGATTCTAAAACAGTCGCTAAAAAATCTCGCATACATATAACTTATATAATACGAAAATCGGTGCTCCCATTTCAAAGACGACAAACAGGATCTTCGCTGCGCATTTTAAACGTGATCGTAGCTCCTCCGAAACGACCGATAAAGGCAGCAGGCGAATAGTATGGTTAATAACTAAAAAATATTTTAAATTAATAACAAAAATCAGATGCATAGATGACTAAGAGACATACCTGAATACCCGCCACAGCCAAGACAACTGAGGCTAAGATCAGTGTTTTTGAATCCAATATGTTCAATAGTTTCTGGAGGCAACCGTGGGGGGCGGCATCTTTAACGGTGCATTCCTTGGATTCGCTTAGATTGATCACCGAGCAACAGGCCGCCGGAAGGGTCTTGTTTGGGAAAATAGCCTCCCAGTCTTCGGGTCCATTGGTGCCACAGCAGTCCAGCTCAGTTTGCAGCAAAGTCCAAGCATCTCGGTAGTCATCCCGTTGTTTGTAGTGGCTCATGGTCGTGTTGAACTGTCCCTCCATCAATTGTTTGAGGCCAGTGTGCTTCACATAACCGGCAACGCCCAGGCCAATCTCGAACAGGAAAATGACCACGGCCAAGATGGCAAAGCTCAGAATCATGCAGCTGCTTTCCTTCAGAGCTCCGCAGCATCCCAGGAAACAGATAACGGCCACAGCAGCTCCCACAATCATAAGAATGATGGGAGCCGTCCAAATGTGGTCACTAACGAAGTTTGAATAATGCGCATAATTCAATTGGACCATTCCACCCACCAAGAAGATGAGTAGTCCGGTCAGCTGAAGGAGATAAAATAAGTGGCTTAAATAATGTAAAAACACTCAGGAAATGGGAAATGCTTATTTGAATTATTATAACATCATATTTGTAAAGAGATGACAACTTACCGCAAAAAGAAGATTGCAAAAGAATGTCAAGTATTTGACACATGCCAAGCCACCTGAAGCCATTATGTTCCCAAAACCGTCAAATCGTACTTCAATGCTGGAATGGAGGGTTGAAAGAAAAATGATAATAACCAAAAAATCAATATTATGGTCAACCGCAAACAAATGCCCCCAGAATATAGGACTCCAAGCCAACCCCAAAATCAAAGCCAAACCGTGTGGTATCTGTTTGAACCGCGGCCCATTACTTTCTCCATAAAAGTACTGTCCTGACCAACTAACACTAATATGTACACGTAATGGTTCGTTTTTATTTTTTTTGAGTATTTGTTTTAATAATTTTGTTTGGCACCATTACCCCAAGTGGCCCAGTTGCAGTCGCGTTTTCATCGGATTTTAAATGGTTGGGGGTGTTGGCCGCGGTATGGCTTGGTGGAAGGCATTTGGTACAAGGACAAAGTGCTTTGGCTGCATTGAGTGTAGCCAGTTCGGCAAGGCAGAACTCAACTAATAAAATCAGAACAAAATATTTACAATGTTGAAAATAGGACTTATTCCATAAATTAATTTCATGTAGTGATAAAAAACACATATCCTTATCTATGAAAAGCATTATTTATCTCTATTCAAATTTCTTAATTCTTATTTTTGTCTAAATCAACAAATAACAAACACAATTGCCAAAATGTGCCCCTCTTGGAGTACTAATTTATCTGAATAAGCAAAATTTTGCTGACTGCAATAAAATTGGATGTTCGGATCAAAGATCTCGATTTGAAAGATATGCATGAATTTGTATATGTAGTAAACATAATATCGTTTATGTACGTTTGTTTGTAAGATCTTATAATAATACTCTTATTGAGTAACCCAACGGCTTGAACTCTTCAATCAGTAGAGGTCGCTGCTCCAATTAGCGCACTCGAACCAGCCCTTCCTTGGCATAGGCACAAAAATGTACACTCTTGCCTGTTGTTATGCGAAATCGATCGTTTTGAAATTGTGTCAACCGTGGAAAAAATGGCAAAAGAGTCACTGGAGCAGTTATACTAAATGAAGCTCTATCGAAAAGGGTAGAATAAAAGTTTTTCCTGACCACCTGACACATGACTTAGAGCAATCAATAAAACATCACCCGATATGGACGTACATATATGGGACGTTATGTCGGGGAAAGTTAATACTCATACCATATATACATAGCTTAGAGTTGTGAAAGAAGTTATATATTATTTATATGGGAACATAAATGATCATAAAAATAACTGTCAATACTTTTTCTTACTTTCCCATGTGTTTTCCATTATGTTTTTCTTGAAACTAATTATATTTTTAATTACTATATAGATAACTAACTAAGAATAACTAAATGGTGGCCCCACTGTACTCCCGGTAACGGCCACTTTTAGCACCAGGTGGAGCTTTCGAGGGGGAGCTAACACTCAAGTGGAACAAAAGGGACGGCTGGCCGGGCCTGGACATCAATAATGCCAGTCCTTCGATGGTTAGAAAGTATTGTGTGGTCATGTGTGTGTGTGTGCATAATGATACACCTGGGTGGTTTGCGGGCCTTCTATTAATTTTGGAAACAAACCCGTTGGCCTGGTCATCGGAATTCTCACGCATCGGAGCACCTTTTAGAAACTACTGCAACGCAATAACCTTCTAAAACATAACAATTTCACTTAGGTATGCTGCACAGTACAATAGAATCTAGAATGTTGAAATCTCAGGTAAAAACGAGATCTAAAAAAAAAGAGACTTGGAAAAACAAAGGCCAGAAAAGTGGAGCGGAAGTCAGGCAGTGAACCTGAAAAGAAATAACTTCACACTCGCCCCCCTCTCTCATATAAGCCGCTCTGATTCTGTCTCTACCTATTGGAGTTACAAACTCCAGCTTAAAATTTTAATACCTCCAGTAACGTTAGCTTAAAGATAATTCACAGATAATGGGCCTTAATTTGTGTATATACCTGTCTAAAATCACGGCACTCTTTAAGCGTTTGATTTATCCGCACTAGCAGAACTCTTATCGGCACAACAACGAAAATACAAATAATGTTCTGCTAGCAGAGTTTCCAGGTTACTCAAGCTCTACTTGAAATGTTACTAAAAAATCCTTGGGACGCGGGAAATTTGAAAAACCAGTTTTCAAATCTTGGGGTAGATACATCGCATCGTTGTAGAAAATCTCGGCTTTTTATCTACAGTTTGGAAACCTAGTTACTTAAAAAATTGTCATGATAACTGCAAAATATATTGAATAATATATTTTGAACCTCGTCAAATATATCAATCCTCAGAAAATTGGATGTCAACAATTACTGGCTTGTTAACGATCAACTTGCCAATATATATTTATTGGTAAAATAAATAAAAAAAAATATATATTTTATTAATATAATTTCCAATTTTAATGTTATACTTTATTTTTTCGTTTTTAAATGTTCTAAAAACCTTATCTCACTTTTTAACACTTTTTTATAGTATTAACGTGGTCTTTTATTAGACGATATGGCAGCACCAAGACAAAAATGGCGGATGCTATGACTTGAACTACATAACTTAGAAGTTTAAACAAATAACATAAATAAATTAAAGCATACGACATAATAATTATATGAATCTTAAATAAAATTTTTTGTTTATATATATTTTTAGGATATTCAAAAAGAATTTATACCACAAGAAATAAAAACATTATACAGCGGGAAAAATTCAAAAATGAAGAAATTTTGTTTGCTTTAGAAAATTTAAGCTTTTGTATTCCATATCCCGCCTATAATTCTCTACTTCTTGTAAAATTTAAATAAAACACAATCAATATTTTCAATTTATTTAATATATTTTCCGTTTGCACCGTTTTAGGTATTTATAGCATTATTTTTACATTGTACTTTATTCATAAAGATGTGTGAATATACTTTAATTTTCTTGTACCCAACAAATGCTCGTCAAACTAAACTCTTATATTTTATTTACATTACGAGTTATATGTATGTATTTTTAATATTTATTTTTTTTTTAAATCTTTGCTTGTATTTTAACACATAATGTTGGAGAAAGTAACATTTATGAGCCATGTATACTTATGTTTAATAGACATAAATTTAATTTTAACTTTTACAATGCGGATCTAAGGAATTTTTAAACATCTATATTGCATTTTTCAAATGTTTTATTTACTATTTATTTTATTTTGTTGATTAGAGCATGACTAGAATTACAATTGAATGAACTGATCGCTTTGACTTGCTGGATACCAATTTCAGGACAGGAAAATTGCTCGGCCCTCGGCGGTTTCATTTTATTTGCTTATAGAATTTTGGCATAGGCCTTATATTGTTAGATATTTCTATGTCAAGTTTTCTATGTTAGCTATATATTTACATTGACTATCCCATATTACACATCCCGACTAATAAAACATAATCAACAAGCTTAACTTGGCATCTACGAAAACAGAGTCACCCTATCGACAATTTTTCACTTAATTGCTGCTAAGACCCCAGCATCTTCTTAAGCTCCCACACACATACACGCGCACACACACACACGCAGACCCATCACCTATCCATTCCTAGCTCCCACCACCCATTGAGCACCGTTATTTTATTACTGTTTACCGTTCCGAGCGTCACTAGTGTTGTTCCTTTTCCGCGCCCCGTGGGTTCGTCCGGGGTTCGACCCATAACGGAAGTGTGCCAATTCCAGTGAGCCATTCAACGTTTCGGTGTGTTAATTGTTTAGAAGCCCCCCCCCCCCCTTCCTCCACCCCCTTGCCGTCCTCGCCCCTCTTAATCCTTGGTAAGTTTCAAGTGCATTAAAAAGATCATGGGTGGTAAATTAACTTATTGGCGCGTCACTTCGACGGCGACCGTTCCGCAGTCGCCAGAGTTGCTAGTTAACGGTAATTGATGCTTTGTGTTGTTGCTATTGCTGGCAATTATATTATATAATCGCGTTCACATACTATCGAACATTACTTCCTTAACAGTCCTTACATCTTGATAGGACATCCATTTTGTCACGGACTGTGGTATAATTCTTTCTGTTTAAATGAGAAATCGCTTTAATTTTTATCTTAAAAATTTAATGTGTTTTTTGAGTGTTTTTACTTACAATATTCCAACGTTATATAATTTATTAAATTTGACTGCTGGTTAATTGTTACTTATCTTACTCCTTAGGTTTTAAATCTTTGATTTTTTGCATGCTTGTACATAGTATATTATTCAAATAAGTATTATTTGATTTAACTGAAATCCATAATGAGTCAATTTTCTTTTTTTAAATTTTTAAATAACCATTAAATATTTGCATTAATAAAAATTTTACTAAAAAATATATAAAACCAATTTTTTGTGCAACACAAGTGACTAAATGGATGATCAGTAGCACTAATTAATTGATCAAATAAAGGACACCTTTACAATTTTGTTTATCCTTACATTAATTTACTATTACGTTGTTAATGAAGTTTTAATACAGAGTTACTTACTATAGAGCTTTCATTAGATAATCACCCCACTCTGGGGCTTATAAAAACTCCCGGAATGGTTCATCGAAATTATCGTTAACATCCGGGAAGGTTCCGGAATTGCTGCCGACCCCAACTCCCACCCCCACACCTACACCCACTCCAATGCCCACTCCCACGCCCACCGGAGTGTTGCCATTGAGTATAAGAGTAGACTGTTGCTGCTGCTGATGTTGCTGTTGCTGCTGCTGCGATTGCAACATCGTGCCTCCCATGTGAACATGGCTAAGCATCGCCTGCTGATGGTGGGGCAGGTTGGCCTGTTGATGCTCCAGCGGCGTTTGTATGTGCATGCTTTGGGGCTGGAGGCTCTGCATCGAGGAGGCTGTGTTTGCCACAGCGGTGGCGTTTAGCAAGCTGCCATCGGAGGCGGCCAGGAGAGCACAGTCGTAGGATGCCCCGTTGGGCATCGTGTCCTCGAAGCAAAGCGTGGCCGCATTCGCACTAATGGTAGCGCCACTCAATCCACCCCCTCCTCCATTCTCCGCCGTAAGATTGGAAAGCAGAACGCCGCCGACGGCCCCAGAATTCAGCTCCATGGCCGCGGCCTCTTCGTTCCGTTTGGAGAGTATAATGTGCGTCAGATTAATGATATAGTTTTTGGCCAGCGTCAAGGTCTCGATCTTGGAGAGTCGCCGCTCCATCTCCACGTGGGGAATGACTTCTCGAAGCGACTGGAAGGCATCGTTCAAGCTGTGCATCCGCATCCTTTCCCGCTCGTTGGACTCTAGACGCCGAAGGTTCCGCTCCTTGGCATTCAAGGCGCCCTTGCGCCGCCGGTTTGAGCTTGAATTGGCATTGGACGAGCTGGAGTGGGCGCTGTTGGGCGTTAGGCTCGAGGAGCAGCTTCCGTTTCCGGCCTGCTGGCCCCGCCCCCGACTTGAGGCCCGCTGGCTCTCCTGAGAACCGCCCTGCTGCTGGCCATTGGTGGTGGTGCTGCTGCCACCGCCGTTGCTGCTCCCGCCGCCGCCGCTCGTATCGTCGCTCTGCGAGCTGGAATCTGTCATCTCCAGGTCGCAGGTGTTATTGCTTAACTGCAACGCAACAAGAAAATCGTATGAAAATGACAGTCCCCTCTCTTGCCGTCCATCTACCTCTACCTGTGAGGTGCGTCTGGTGGCGCGTCGCACGGGCCGTGAAAGCCCCTCCGCCGATTCCGGGGACAGGCCATTGTGTCCGTCCGTGTTGTAATTGTTGTTGTTATGATGCAATTGCTGCTGCAACTGCATAAAGTCGTGGCTGCTCATCAGTTCCGTTAGCTGGGTGGCATTCATGGCTTCGGAAGGTTTCAAACATTCACAGAAATCCAAATTTTTGCTATGGATAGAGGGCAGAAAATAAATAAAATTTTTTAAAGGAATTGTATATATTATGTCTGAAACAGACTGATTGTTCTTTCATTTCTAAAAAGAAAATAAAACATACCCTTGTACTCTACGAGTACCGGGTATAAATATAGGATCAGAGGGGAAAAGTTTCTACAAAATTCTTATATAATAGGATTTATAATTTTCTAGCTCTAAAAACTCTTTTCTAACATCTTAAATTTGACCTGATATAAGTTTCGAAGGACATTTCCAGAAGAAACGATCACTTCATTACTCAATTATCATTCTAGAATCTAGATCAAGGATCTTTCTTTTCTAAAAACGCCAGCATATTTTCTAAAACGCCACATTTTCATCATTTAACGACTTAGTTTATATACATATAATCTATGAGGATTTATTAGTTTTTATTCATTTATTGTTTTTTGTTTTTCCTGATATGACATCTATTTGGATATTCGTTATCTTTGATCGATATTTGCTATATTTATTGAACAACACACGTGACTGTTTGACATATAAATTAGGTCGAGTGACGCATAGCTATGTTTCCGAGATGTAATATTCAGATAGAAATGACGGTAATATAGGAAAAATCGGAAAATGTCAGGAAATCGGAAAAGTGCCTGGAATTGTATTGCAAGATTGCGTTTTCGAATTTCTTTGAATAATTAAAACAAATTCGCAGAAAACATCTCTATTCTAGTATTAATTTTCTGATTTATTTTATATTCTTTTAGAATTTGGTTTCTTTTAGAATGTATCTATTAATAGGAATAGTAAAAATATTAACAAAACTAAAAAGATTATTTTCACTTAGACTGTATTGTACTTAATGGGTTGCTTGCTGTTTAAATTAAGAAAAAGAAAACTATGAGCAATAGGTGACCGATGAAGTGCCTTTGCCGCCTTCGCGTTGTTATGGTTATGGCCTTTGGCTTTCCAGCATTTGACCCGGAAATTGTGCTGGAGCATTTAAAGAGAGGGGACACGGGGACCTGGTGGCCTGGACATGAACAACGACTTTGTTGTAATAGAAAACGCACATTTCGCGTTGCAATTCTTTCTCGGTCGGCGTTAAGGTTGAGAGAAACAAAAGTGTCGGTATTATTTAAGGACAAATGTTTCTTTGGCCCTTGAGTATCGCACTTCTTTAAGAGTGTTTGTAGTAAAAGAAATACAAGAAAACATTAAACCGCAAATGGTGTCACCTAGAGGCGGGAAACCCTTAAATGGTTTTATTTGGTAAGGGCTGTAAATTGATTTCATAATTATTTGTACAAGATCATAATCACATTTGGATTAGAACTGGTAGGCATATAATAATAATTTATTATTAATGAATAATTATGGGGAAAATTAGCTGCGAAGTATAGGGTTTTCAAATCTGCAAAGTGCTTAAATTAAAAGTAAGCTATCTACTCTTGAGCTACATTATATAATTTATAGATTTGGGTTAGACACGTTACAAGAATGTAACGTTTCTTTTTTTTTAACATCTTTTAATATCTTAGCAATATATACAATTAAAATGTATAATTGCAAGACCATCTTATTAAACTCGCAATCTTTGCGGAAGAGCTCACAAGTAAGCCCCAAAAAGTATGCTATTGTATAGAGAGAGAGATGGGCTGTGCATTAGATCCTTTTCATTCTTTATTCGTTAATAAGATATAAAGAAATATAAATATAATATGTTCTTTAATATTTTTTAAAATATTTTATTTGAAGCGCTCAAATATTTTAAAGCCTAGTTCCCAATTTTTTTAAGATGTAGATTTACGTTAATAGACGCATGGTTTCTCATTGTCACACGGAAATTATTGAATTTAGCGAAACGATTTTTAAGGGATATTTTTAAGGTACACATTTTAAAATAATTTAGAAATTTCGCCCAACATATTTTTGTTACTAGATCCTTGGTAGATCCATCTGCAGACATTTTAGGAAAATAAATTCTTGATCAGATCCTTCTGAGATTTTCTTTTAAGAATCTATGTATCTTTAATAAAACCTTAAACCCTTTCGAAAAATAAATTCTTGATCAGAACCTTTTACAACTCTTTTTTTTAGCCAATATCTTTGAAAAAACTTTTTACCCTTTATATCCTATCCAAAAGTTGACTTTGAAATTCAATACAAGGAGTGCAGGTTCTTTGCAACAGTCTGCACCTTGTCTTGTGTAATATTTATTATGCTTTCTAGTAAATAAAGAATGTTTTGTTTGCCTTCTTGGATGTGGGTTGAAGCAAGTCTGGAACAAAGGTGCACTGGTTTTGACAAGTATAGTGAGAATTTTGTTGTGGTATAAACGCAGTTATGGTGAACCGAATGAACTCAAATTATTCAATCGCATTGAACTTCAATAATTGAAGAATGAGGTTTATAAAAGCTCGATACAAAGTTCTATTGACAAAGATCCCTATATTTAATTTTGACACATTCTCACACATAGAGTCTATAGAAGAGTTCCTAAAAAAATACCTATAGAAAATATCAAAGATTACTGATCCTTATTAAAGATCTGCTGGCATAAATATGAACTGATGTCAAAAAATTTTAAATAATATTACTTGTCTAGTGGTTGACTTTATGAATTTTTACCCAGCGGTATCCCCACTGTATTAGCTATTTTTCTAATATTCCGTATACTTATGGAGTATATTTTTATTTTACGTAAATATTTACCAAAACGAAAACCTTTTACTTACAAATTTATTAAACAATTGCCACGCAAAGATTATTAAAAACTTTGTTAATTTTTATTTGGATAATTAAATCCTGTTTTCAATCACTATTTTCACACAAAATGTGAACAAATTTCACATTTATTCTGAGCATTTTATTTTTTGTTAGTTAAAAACTCTTCCATCCAATAAACAGCTCCAATTTTCACAATATATCTATAAATGTAATCACTAGGTTTTTCCGATATATGCGATACCGACCAAATGGCATTGGATCAAGATAAGCGGAACTGAGCGCGAAGAGTAGACCGGAAACGCGGAAGCGTTGAGGATGACGGCCACTTGTGGAATGGCTGCAACGACAAAGCGTCGCCGTTTGGCAACCCGAGCTCGGGATGAAGGCGAATCACAAGTTTCGGCCGATGAGGCCCGAGTCGAGCAACAAGTCCACCATACCCAAGGGCTGGGGGTGGACACCGGCACGAGCTCCTGAGTGAAAGCAGACTGACGAATCGAGAGCAATTCAAAAGGCTCAAAAAATGAGTAGAAATCGGAGTGAGTTTCGGGTTTAACCATTGCCTTTTGTCAGCCCACGAACATGGCTAAAATAACTGGCTCAGTCTGAGACTTTTCAAATAAATGATAAGGCTATTTTTGGGTTATAGTTTGATATCTGATGTTTTCTATTTGCTAAAAATTGCCTCAGTTATGATTGTATTTTTGAAAATATTCATCTATTTCAGACTCTTAAAAAGATCTATTTCGGGATAACCAAAATAAAGTTTTATAATATTTAAAGTATTTTTATATAAAGAATATTATAAAGTACGCCAAATACGTTTCACTCAAGCCTAAAACTTAATCACGTTGAGGGCTGCTGACTTGGATCCAGTACACCAACCCACATCCCTGACTCGCCCAACGGGGTGGCTTGTGTTTTGGAGTTCCTAGACATGTACACCACGTGCTCAGCCCAACTCCGGGGGGGAGTTACAACTAGGGCCAGCCCGCCACAAGGGTGGAAATCGGGGGAGTGGGTGCCTGATTAGTCCCGGTGACGCATGTTCCTCTCAACGGCCTGCATTCAACACCCACAACCGCCAGATCCTTTTGTTACCAACTCCAATTGACTGAGTGAGTTGTATACTGTTATTATTATTATCGTCTGTTTGTTTATGCTCTTGTTGTGTTTCCTTATCGGAGAGTTTTTATCTCATGATAAACTATTGTCGAAAGATAATAAACTGTTGCCACAGAAAGTATGTCTTTTCAGATTCAGAGAGTTGCCCATCTTCCACAAAAGATTTTTATAATTTTTAAGCCCCATTTGACTCTGCTGAAAGGTTTTTAAAAAATTTTTTAAAATATTTAATAATTTTTTTAGATTTACATAATTTTTTTTTTTTAAGTTCACTCTTTTATCTTTGCTCTTTACAAAATCAATAGATTTTTACCCAAAGGTTTATTATTTAGTCATTCCCTCACTGCTATACTTGTGGTCTTTAAGCCAACTTCAACAACAAGTGCACTGGCAATACTTCCCCTTGAAGCTCTCCTTCATCCAAGTGTCGCCAAATACAGATTGACAGTTAATATTTTTAAACTGGCAACAGGATTTCGTTGGATGGGCTAAGGAAGCACGTTGTCTACAAGGACATTATGTAAATCGCAGGACAGCAGGGTTAATGGCGGCATACGGCATACTATCCCCCAAGTGTTTTTGAACCTATGTAGATGTGGAAATAATAAACATGAATGTATAAAAATAGACTCCAGACCAGCAGAAAGGGAAGAGTAGGAAGGGTCTTGCGGCAAAAGTGTAGACCAGAGGTTCATGCAATCCTTAACAAAAGGACCTTTGCATTATTTTCAATAGGAAAAGTTCTTGGCCGTTTGCGGTGCAGCATACCCCGTGTTTGAGACTTCAACATTTAGTTGTGCGTCTGGTGGCTGCGGCTCTTTTTGATTTATTAAACCGATCATTGTAGTCGACAGTCTGCCATAAACAAAACCAAGCAAACAACTGCCCTATTTAATATCGAACACGGACTGATTGAGGGCTGAGACATATTCGATTATTAGCTTTTAGTAAAAAAAGAAAGGGAAAGACTTAAACAAGTCAAGTTTTTCCTATATAGAACCAGGTAGTCCCACCCTAAGAGTGTTATTCTTTTATTGAAATTTCAGAATAACCTTTATTGTCAAGTATTAGAGGTTAAGGCTAATAAAATATTTTGTATAAATTAATTTCAAGTTTAGTATTTCCATCAGCAATCATGGCAACCGCAAAATTCGATTCA